GTTGATACACTCACATATATAACTTTAAATACATACATATTATAAATATAAACACCCATGACTAGAGTACATACAAACATTCGTGCCACAAATGAATGCCCCCAGCGGGATTCGAGCCCGCGACCACTGGCACAGAAAGTAGGATCGCTACAGACTGAGCCAAACGTGTCGTCAAATAAAAATAGATCCGCGAAAAAGTCCGTAAGGATAGTTTTATACTTCAATTTTAGGACAACGTACTGCTGAGCAGCAATTTGAGTATAACAGCAGAGATGTGCAGCACTTAATTTTTCGTTAGACAGAAGGAAAAACTAAAAAAAAAACGTATATAATTCAAACTCCCTATCCATCATGAATGAATAAGTATAGCGCGAGAAAATATAAATATCATAATGAACTTTTATGAATAAAGTAGAATACGCTCATATCTATGTTACGTACATCATATGAATAGAAATTAGTAGACGTGAGACATCATTTTAAATTCAGCACGCTTTTTCTTATTATTTTTATTTAAAAGTTAGTATGGAATAGACTAATTACATATATACATATGTAGTTTAATGAGTAATAAGTATAACGAGTTATAAGAATATAACGTGTTTCCACGTGAGTATGAATTAATCTTCCGCGGTAAAAAATTGCTGTCACTTTTCAAGCTCTCCAACAATCTTCACAAAAAAATGTTGACAATCCGTTACTCTGTTCCGTGAAAGAAGAACAAACTGACAAACTAAAAAACAAGTATGAATAAGCTATAAGCTGATGTGATGATTATATTATTAGATAAATAGCATGCCTAGTTTATTTTCGATCGACTTCAAAATTACTCGATTTGTGTTATAATAGTGATATTATTAGCTACCTTATGATGTGATTTAGAAATCAGTGTACTTGTTTTTAAAACTTCACTAACTTATCTATCTATATACATAAATATTATAAATGTGACAGTTTGTTGTTAGTATGGATATTTGTTACTCTTTTACGCCAGAACGGCTGAACGGATCTGGATGAAATTTGGTACAGAGATAGATTATAGTCTGGAATAACACATAGGCTACTTTTCAACTCGGAAAAATATACGTTTCCCGAGGGATAGATTTGTTCATGTTTTCCTAGAGGCGAAGCGAGGATGAGCCGTTGGTATATTCATAATGTATGAATATCGAATGATGTAAGCATCCATACTAATATTATTAACGCAAATTGTGTATGTTTATCATTGTTAAAATCAACAACGAAACGATTGTCGTGATTTTGATATAGAGATATGGAAAAAAAACGTGTGGTGACCTATCTAAAAACGAGTGAGGACCTTAAAAAATTAAGGCAGGTGGCAAATATTTAACAAAGCAATAAAAATGGCTAACCATATGCTAAATTATTGGTTGGTTGCGAAATATAAAAATTAATAACTAATTAATCATATTTATAGTTTGTATATTCTCGCATAATAAGCGAGGCGGGGTCAATGTCCGATCCCAGGATGCAATCCTTTGTTACAGAGATTTGTTGTAACAGACAGAGTCACTTTAACATTAATAATATAAAATATGGATTTAACCAATGTTAAATAAAATTCTAAACTGAGGCTTTCTTTAAATATTACACCACACTTAAACGGTTTACAGAAACAATTTATTCACCGAGAGACTCTCGTAACCATGTTTAAATAAAACAGCACTGACACCTTTGATTCAAGGAATATTTAATGCAAATTATATATTTTTAATGTATGACCAACTTCCTTTCCTTACGTCGAGAATCGAGTCGTGACCGTCAACAAATCTTCCCACTGCGATAAACATATCACACAATATCGGGTGCTGGCTGGCAGCCAACTGTGTATGCTTCAATATTGTCAAACTAATGTTTAGAGATTTTCTGGAGAACACCGCGACAAACTAGGTTGTTTTGATGTGACGCTCAGACGCAGGGAGAAGATACGGCTTGTTTTCCATAGCGCGCTATTCATATTATTGCCTCCATACGATAAAATAAGTAGGGATTCAAATTTATATATTGAACATTTTTTTGAAAAATGTTTTTGAAGGATACTTTGTCTTTATACTTTTGCCCGATTTCACCAACATCACTTAAGCTACCTACCTACGTATGGGATCCCTAGCTTAAAAGTTCCCCTAAACTAGCCCGTAAATTAAATTTCGTTTTACCATCGTCAGAGCCCGTATTTCTAGGACCTATATTTAGGTGGCATTTTAACATTTAGATGACCCCTAACCGTCGGTGAAACAGAAACTGTCCCCTAACAGCCCCCTAACCATGCTTAGGGGATCCCTTAAACTTTGTTGCAGTGAGTGCGAAAGCGATCCTGCACGCCCCATTGCACTGCGGCGAAGGGTTCCACTGTGGGTTTTAGTGAGTAGGAGTCTCACAGTACCCTACCCATGACGGCGGCAGGGTCCCCATGATGGGTTTCCCCAGCGAAAAAAAAAAATCCCTTAAACTTAGGTGACGTTGGTGAAATCGGCCATTTGTCTATCGGAAGTTGTAACAGATACTAAAGTCGTAAACATACCTACATGTACATATATCTATTAATATATATTAAAAAAAAAACTAACATTTGTTATGCACTACGATCACACAAACATTGCCTCCTTTTGCTATTGAAGTGAATTTCATTTTTATCTCTTCCATCTATATAATATAATATACCAAATTAAAAGCGTACCATTATGATGCCATATTATACTATGTAGATTGGTGGAATGCCAGCAGCAAAGAATTAAAGTTTAGATATGCGTCGTCCACACTGAACATATTATACGCTGACAAGAGTAATGGTCCAATCACCAATCTAATTATAATATGAATGATTTATTATTTATTTTAACCCATTACATTTGTTTCAAAAGTCAGATTTCATTTATTTGCTAGCTACTCGCCCTCGGTTTCGTCCCTAGTGAGAAACAAAAACAAAACTATCCCACGGGAACCGTACATTTTTCCGGGATAAAAAGTAACCTACGTGCAAATGCAGACTATTATCTATCTCTGTGCCAAATGTTATCTAGATCCGTTCTGCCGTGATTGAGTAACTAAAATCCATCCATCCGTCCTTACAAAGTTTCACATTTAAGTATAATATGAAATATTATTATAATTATGGGGTAAATAAACTTCAAAAAGGAAGCTGTTCTTATAAATACATATTTTAAATACAAATCATATCCAACTACATAATGTATTTTATTATGATATAGTATTTTAAGAAATTTGTGTTTTTTGTTTAGTGCTACATACACCTACCTATATATTGAAACTATACAGATAAATAAAATTGTGAAGATGAGAAAAAAAAGTGTCTCTGTTTGTAATGTCAAAATAACAGGTTTTTACTAAAAGCATATGAAAGTATAAAATATTATGGTACTAATAAGAGGGAACCATTTTTAAAAATTTTGTCTCTCTGTCTGTTTGTTCCAAATAATTTCCAAAACGGCTGGACCGATTTTGACGGGCCTTTCACTGGCGGATAACTGATGTTATAAGGAGTAACTTAGGCTACTTTTATTTTAGAAAAAGTATCAGGGTTTGCACAGAACAGAATAAATTAAAACCCATGAAATTGTGAATGAATTGGTGTATTCAGTAGGAGAGGCATTGAAATATGAAAGTTCACTCTTTACTATAATTAAATAAGATTTTATGCATGCTACTCTAAAAGATATGTATTTGGAAAAGTTTTATTTATTTAGATATATACATACATCGTTTTTATCAATCCACACAAAATAAAATTTTATTTAAGTATATCATTGAAGATGTTTAACGCACACTTTAGCTATTTATATGTTTATGTTTTAAAACAATTATCCCTCCTCCCGCCATATACAAGATCAAAGCATACCTTAACTTATCCATGTTTGCAAATTGATGCTTTGAGCTTTGACTTATCAACTCCCACATGATTTTCAATTTGTCGGTTTTTAGTAAAATTTGTTTCTAAAAGGTTCATACCTAATTTTGCTTCTTACTTACTTTCTACTAATACTTACTTATATTTTCTCTTATACATTCTCTCATACTAAAGAATAATTTTAATATGCATCATAATTTATTTAATCATTAAATTAAAGCCTAGCTAAATACCTAGCTAACTATACCAAAAGTAAGTCTGGAAGGAATCTAATAATTTAAAGCAACATTAGGAAAAAAAATAAAAAGCAAATTATGTAAGCTTTTTACTCATCATTTATATGTTCAGGTAGCATACACTACGCTGTGCATGACTTATTAAAATTTATACTGATATTTCATCAGTTCTAAAGAAAAAGAGCATTTGAAACTTGCATAAACTTATAATAATTAGATTAAAGAGTTGGATGCGAATATGGCTACACAATAAAACTTTTTAAAAATCTTTAAAAAGCCTTTAAAAATCATACTTGACCCTCATTTAAAAAATACCATTTTTAAGCATTCAATCAAGTTTAAAAAAATAAATTATTAAAATAATATATCTCAAACATACAGAAACACAAATTACCCGATATATTTATATAATGATTATAAACTCTAATTAAACATAATTGCAGAAGAAACGAAAAACACATAATACTGAGAGAAAGTCAAGGCTGCCTTGAAATATTACTTCATGTTTTAAATTTATAAAGATTTATGAAACTTAATTAGGAAATACTATACAATAGTAATTTGATACTTTTTTTGCTATTCTCAAACCTGTGTCAAAATAGCGTCTATACAATTTGTAGGGCAAGTAAAAAAATTCTTAAGTAAAATTAATATATTATAGGAAATAATACTTAATTAGCCCAGTTCATATTATCACACTTGGCAAATAAACAGATTTCTTTTAAATTATTGTAATGATTAAAATGTTATATGTATATATATACTATCCTGAAATCTATTTTGGCAGAAACAGAAACAATATTATCATAAAATTTGGTACAACAAATTGTACTGGCCAGAACATCTTGGATGTAAATTTTTACTGATAACATAATCTACCAGATAAGAAAGGTGCTTTTGAGGCTTGTCAAATGTTTAAATTCCTGAAGAGCAATATGTTATATAATAATTATTTTAAAAATGAAAGAGCTGAATTTTATCATTTCATTTTAAACTAAAACAATTATGACTCTTTACTTTTGTTCACTGAAACAAACATTGAATTTAAGATATTTATGTTACATATTAATTCTATGTACCAATATATTTACATCATATGAACATTTTTGAAAGGAATGCAATAAACATAGCATATCATAGTTTGAATGGCAGAAAGCTCACCTTCATACTTATTGATAACAGTATTACTTATTCACATTCATAATATCACCTTGATCTGTAAATTTACATTGATAGTGGAGATAACACTTATTAACCAATAAGATTTCTCAAATACTTGTTTCATAAACTGAGTTTTACTTTAGTTCGTTTAATAAAATCGTACGTCAGATCCATATACGAAGTAAGTACCAAATAGGGTTTACTATAATAAGATTTAAAATAGACAGGTGAATGTCACTGACCTGAGGTAAGTTGGCCGCGATCTGCCTATGTAGCGAGTCCCGCTCTTTCTCCACATCCTTGAGACGCAGCTCCGTATCTCCAAGACGTTCTTGCGTTTCCCGCAGGCTTTCTACTAATTTATCTCTCTCATCCAACATAGACACCATGAGTTGTTCAAAATTCGCGTCTTCGCCAGAGAACTGCGAACTCCGCTGGCTAATACTGTCTTCCGATATCGTGGGCATCACGTCGCACATCATATTCCACATTTTAATTTAACATTAAACCAGAATACTTATCGTACACGATACACCGAATAACACAAGGATTTCGATCACCGTTTTACATATGTTTCGGCACAAACGTTACCTAAATCTAGCGCACAAAACGCGAGGGCGTTGCTTCACATTGTCGAAATATTCGTATAAGACTTTAGTCAAAATTTCGGGAGACATTATAGTTCGATATTTAGAAAGACACACCTAAAACTTATACTTCTACAATTCCATACTATCACGGTACAAGCGGCATGTCTGCCATCTTGGAACGGAACGTCAGTCATACTATCAAAGATTACAGCATGTGTAAGATATCGTAGAAACAGATACGCCATAATTTTTAACGTATTAGTACTTTTATACAAATTTGTATTTTGTTAAATACACTTTAGCAAAATAGTACATTTGACAAAATAATACATACATAAAAATATTGTAATTTAAATTATATAATTTTTTGTACTTTTATTTGAATTTAAAGTGTTCATTTAATGAAAAAATATTATTAGTTTTTTAATGATTTTAACACCGTTTCCTTTTGGTCCCATGTATCTAATCCAATGTAAAATTTGATATACTAGGTAGTATAGTGAATAAAAATATTATAGAACTGACCAGCAAGAAACTGAATATCAATAATGATATGTTTAATTCTTCCTAAAAATCATAACTCTTTGCTAAAAACATGTTTTAAATTATGGACTTATTTCTATTATATTGGTATTATTGTACTCTTTCATTCTATTCTGACTATTACAGTGAATTGTATATTACATGCGTGGTGATATGTTAGTTGGTTTGTTCACCTTTATCGATTATCGCAGTAATGGAATGGAGCCAGGGATTGATATAATTTTGCTTAAGTATAGTTTATGAGGTGAAGACGCATATAGGCTAGTCAGTTGTCGCTTACAACAACACTTAAATATTTTAGTGGACTTATATCTGATTTTAGATTATGATAGTATATTATAAGCGATTCCGTACATCAAATTTTGTAGTAAAGCCCTGCACACTATGCGTCCTCTCTGTTTTAAATCCTAGTCTTTGATACTATTTCTACTCGTCTACGCTAGAGGTCATTACTAATAATTATGAATGAAACCCTTTCGTATTGTTTTTTCTATGAACATCTTATATAAAAATAACGGTTATTATACAAAAATAAGAAAGAAAAGAGAGCTATTTTGCATCATTCTACATAATATTAAATTGTAATTCTAAAATATAATGTCTTCAAAGGCATATTTTTGTTATTGGCAGCATTTAGGTAAAAATATAATAAGAATTTTTTTATAAATAAATCAATTATTATTATAATTTTAGAAAAACAAAAATTTATAAATTGTATCACGAAAATTGGTGTAATACAGTTGTTGTTTTACTATCGTAATATTCACAATCTATTACTATTTTCTAAAATGTATTGTCCAAATATTATCTGTTTTTTTGAAATGATTAAAAAAAAATTACAACGTCTATGGAAAATCGTGGTTTGCACTTTGCAGTTTGCTATCACCAACTTTTCCACCAAGTTTCCATCTAGTCTAACAGCAGTGTTTCAAATAAGTTATCAGACGTACAATTAAAATTATTGTGTACAAAAATATATTAAATAAAATATAGGTATGGCTCAATGAAAAGTTACATATATATCTTGAATGCGGGTCCCGGTACAACGGTTTGTTTGGATTGCTTTTGGCAAAGTTATTAGATGCTGAAGAAAAAAGGTCAAAAAAAGGCGAACAATGCTGGTACAATTCACAATTCTTAATTATAATAAAAAGATTTATCATAACAAAAATATATAGTAATAAATTAATTTTAAATGTTTAGTTGATATTTCATATATCCAACCTTCTGAAATTTCAGATTTTACCATAAACGACTGTGCGAATGCGCTCAAACCTGTTGGAAGAGTTAAGAAGTCAGTGGCAGCAGAACCAGTTCCAGAGAAATCTTGGGAAGATTTACAAGATGATGACTTTGATATCATTGAAGAAGTTAACGCAGATGGAAGTAAAAACTTTGTGTATAAGAAAAAACGAAATCATTCAAAAAATGAATCAGAAAACATTGATGACAGACCTGGCATTGTTTATCCAGAGATAGTATGGTATCTTATATCTCCTTATATTAAACCAGAGGAAATAGGAAATTTTGCTAGAATAAACAAGGCAACTTATGCAATTACACACCGTGAATCTTTTTGGCGAGCATTGTATAAAAGATACTGCCAAAATAATCCTAAATTGCCTGAAAAATTAAGAATTGAAAATAGTTATAAACTATACGGTTTGAGGCAGCGTGTCATAAGAGCATTGTATCATACTTATGATGTATTTATTAAAAGAGTGTTGCAACAGGCATCTCAAGACAGCAGGCCGCATCAGTTAGTTAAACGAAGATGTGTAAATGTTTGGTATTACAAAGGTGCTTCATACTGGGTTGTATACTTTAAATTAAAAAAATCTAATCTTGAACAAAGAATTAAAACATTAGATTTTATTGAAGAACTTGGAAGAATAGATGCCAACCCAGAAGAAGATTCCCAAATATTGCAGGTTGGTTAAATTGCATTTTATTATGCAATCAATTACCTAGTAATTTTATTCCACTTTTCTAATATGTAAGTAATTTTGAAATATTCTCTATTATCATTATATTATGAGCAAGTTACTAGCTAAAATCAAAATTGTTGTCATGATATTTGGTTGTTTAGGGCACAAAATGTTCATTTAAAAAAAATGTAATCTAATTTTACTAAAGCTAAGAGATTCAATTTGTTTTTTGTTATAACTGTACATGTCTGTAGATTTTGAGCTTGTGTTGTGTTGTTCATTGGGTAACTCCCATTTTGTATGGAGATAATAATTTATACACTTATTATCTATATATTTCAACTTTTATTAGATAATATATATTTTATAGTTTATGAACAATTTAATTTAGTGCTAAATTCTTATAATTTCAGGTCACATGTCTAAATTTCTATGAAGTTCCACCATTGATGGGTATGACCCTATCATCAGTCAGTGTAGTCTTATCCCAAGGGTTTCGACACCATAGACTACACTTAGGTTTTAATACTGGACACTATAATATATCAAGAAACATCTTTCCTGAATGCTCTGTGGTCATAGACAATGTCATTAACATTCTAGTCTTCGATTGGTGGCATCCGAAATATCCATATTTTGACAGCAAATTACCTTCAAGTTTAAGAGATGAAGAAGCCTTACCAGTGTTGAAAAAAGATTTCTTTACAATTTGTAAAGGAGATGTGTGATTGTTTTTTACATATCTATTTTTACAGGTCATAATGTGTTGATTTTTATATTTTAATTTTTAATGTTTTAATTCAGACTAAGGTAATATAGACAGAGTGTCATAGAACTAAACATGATGCCAAACTATGTTTTAAAATAATACAGAATGTTTCAAAACAGTATACTAATATTAATAGAAATCCATTACTGTGATGAGTAAATAAATGATAGGTACTATATAAAAATAGTAAAGGGATTTTATTGTAATAAAGAAAAAAATATTAATCAGGCTAATATTATGTCTCTTTTTCAAGGGAAAGAGAAATAATGTTTTAAAATACAAAAGAATTAAGTATTATTTTTTTTATTCTCGAAAACTATAAATTAAAAACTTAACATAAATTAACATATTTAAAATATCAATATAAAATATTCCGTAAACTGCAAAATCAAGCTACTATTTTTGTTTTGAAACGTTTTTTTGGTAGGCACAGTCAATATAATTCTCTAGTCTGGGTGTTTTAATAGTTTTTTTATATGTTTTTTTTTTCATTTTCTGTGGTGTATGGTGTTTGTTTGTTTATAACAGCTAGCCTATGATGTTATTTTAAAGCATTATATATGAATTTACCATATGTATAACTATGACTATAGATATAAAAATAACTTTGACATAAGGTACTTATGGAACAAAAAGGTAACGAAATATTGGTTTCAGAAGAAAAAAAATTTTTTAAAGCTTTTGCTGGTCATACTGACATGTAAGAGAGACCTTCCTCCATCCTTCCTTCATCAATAAATAGGGTATAAATGCATAAAGAATTTATCAAATCGGACCTATAGCTCCTGAGATTAGAGTGTTCGAACAAGCAAACAAACTTCAGTTTTATGTATTAGTGTATAAAAATATTTAATATTTATCATTATGATTGGCGAAGTTCAAATTGTATTTTCGCATTTATAATTTTAGATAATGATAAGTTCTAAAGTAAATATAAAATATTAAAAAAAAAACAATAATATGACCTGTAGAAATAATTTTACTATTGAAAGATTCAATAATGTATAAAATGTACAATTTACATAACTATAATGCAAGCAAATATAACGTTTATTTTGTTATTGTTTTTTTTATTTATACTTACCAGTAAGATTGACTTGATTTTTTTTATAATAATATTAGTTGCTTACCCTCTTTTCTCTAAGATTCGCCCCAATAAGGGATGATTTTGTTCGACTTAATTCAAAGATATCGTCACACTCATAGCTTATTTAAAAAAAAAAACAAATTATAGCCCGTAACGTTCCTAGATAATCTGTTTCCGTTGGTGGAAACTGAAAACTAAGAAAATCGGTACAATAATTTCTCAGACAGCCCGAACAAAAACAGTGTGATGTGCGGTAGGGGACTTTACGCTATGTATATCGATCAAAAAAGTACTAGATACACAACCAGCGAGAAAAAATATCCTCTCCAAATGAGCGCTCATTTGAATATTTGAGTGCGTTTTTTTAATTTAAATTATTTTTTGTAAAAACAACTTTAAGCATTACATTTAAGGTTAAATTTACATTGTTGTATATTTATTTCAACTAGAAAAATTATTAATTAGTAACAGTTTTAAAAGAACTTTTGCATGGGATTGTTTATCAAGTTCTTTTTTGATCGATGGTTATGTAAGACTATAATTGTTAGCAGTAATATAGTAATATCTATCTTAATAATTTTGAAAGGTTGAACCATTTTTATGATTCCGCACCTCCGATGTAAAATTACAACCTTTATAAGATATTGTCTATGTGTCTGTGTGTCTATTGCGTTGTATTTTACAATATATAAACTCAATAAAAGGAAACCAACCAGCTCCCATACAAACTGAGATGTTGGGGTCCAAACAAGATATTATTTTTTAAATTTCCTCTTTGGAAATTTTCGGGACATTATGTTCTATATTAGGTTTAGGTTTTCTCACATAAATATATGTGACGTATCTAAAGCAAGGGTTCGATGAGGAATACCTATATAGTTATTTATCTATAGATACATATAATAAAATTCTGCGTCGAATCTATACATTAAATATTTTTGGGAAAATCTTATTGAAATAGTCATTATTATCGATACAGACGCCAATTCTATAGTTTTTATAATTTTTGTCCGTCTGTCTGTTTTATTATATGTATATATATAATAAAACTGTAGGGGTCGAATGTCTGTATATAAAAAATGCCTCGGCGGTATAGTGGCTAGCATGCACGGCTGCACACCCGTAGGTTCGAGCCCCGGGTCGGGCTAAGTTTAGTTATTGAGTCTTTCTGTATAGTAAGCCTCAGTAACAGCCCGGAGTTGGGAAGTTGGCGGTGTTCCACCCCCGTGCCTCGGAGAGCGCGTAAAGCCGTCGGTCCTGCGCCGCCACTCTCACTGGTCGTGTCGAGCAGACGTCCCACCGGAGTATGAGAGTGACAGGAATAGAGAGTGCACGTTGTGTCTGCGCGTACACTTGTGCACTATAATATCTCCTGCGTAGTTGGCTAGTCTCAATGAGATTGGCCGCCGTGGCCGGAATCGGTCATCATCAACGATCGGAGAACATCATCATCATAAAAAAATGCTAAAAATCGAGTCAGGGGGATGTAAGAAGACAAATAAGTAGAATAAGTGCAGGTTTTTTTTTTAATTTCTAGTTTCTGCAATAGTATAAGTCTTTCTCCTAATATACTTGCAATAACTATAATTCATGTCTATTTAAAACGTAGGTACCTATAGGGACGCACCCAAGCGAAGCGATGGTAACTCATTAGTGTATTAATTTAACTTCAAAAATTATAACCATATGTCACTTTGACATACATATATGATAGACACTGTAAAGTTTAATCAAAATTCGTTTAGTAGCTTTTGCGCGAAAGAGTAACAAACATCCATCCATCCATTCTGTCAACCTTTCACCTTTAAAATTTTAATAGGATACCATAAACAGATAAAACTGTAATAATAATATAGTAAAGTTTTTAATTGTTTGGTTTGTTCGTTGACTTGACCTTTTAATCGCCACTTGATTTTAGATTATAGCGCTGTGGACTTCATTGGTCGATTACGTAAGTGTTATTATAAATTAAGTTAGTTGTAACAAAGCGTCTGTGTTTAGCAGCAAAATGTTCCGATCTTTTTTTATATTTGTGGCGATTGTTGTAAGTACATATTATTCATATATTTTCAGTTCAAATCATGATTTAAGATGTCCTAGGAAGTTTCTTTATTACAAGAGCAAGCTAAAAAGCTAATATAAGCGCGATACAATGTTAATTGTTTTTGTTTCATTTATACATAAGTGATTGACACGATTTTCTATGGTTAACAGTATAATTATTATAATACTTATAATTATTTATCTCATTACATAAAATATTTGCAATATTGCAGTCTTTTAAGCTACTTAGCTGCAATGAACAATGTTGTACTCACTTTTGTAGCCATGTTGAATTTAGACTTTGAATTCATAAGGAAATTAATGTCTATTTTAAATTATATAAAAACTGAGGTACAATGCTACCTACTCTTCAACGGTCGGTCAAATATGTGTACTTATGTTTTTATATGATGTGAGGTAATTTTAATATTTTTTCCAATGAATAAGTGAGAAAGCAACAGTGTTTAACCAATAAAAGAGAATTGTTTTTAGTCTTGCGTGAGTCTGTCACTCCTGACAAAAACAAAAAAATATTCAATTGTCTAAGGCTTACTGTACTTTTTTCATTATAAAATAATTTATTATTATTACTTAGTTAACTCTTTTTTTGCTGGTTATGTCTATTTAGTATGTATTTGCTGCTTGGTCTGTAAATCTTAATAAATTATCAAAACATTAATAATGTAAAAATAAATTACAAAATAAGTAGGTACCTACTAATGTAAATTTCAAACCTACGACCTACGTCTATAATGTAGGTACCTATGACACATATAATAAAATAGTAACAAAGCGAAATGTCTACATGATTTTTTTTTTAAACAATGTTACGTATTTTATACCTATATTATACAAGATATAGTTCACAAAACAATAGTTATTGTCAGTTTGTCTGTATATCTGTTTATATATCTGTATGTGTTTCACGCAAAAAATACTGAGCTTATTTTAACGTCTCTCACTTCTCTCAGTGTCTAACAGTAGGTACTTTTCGTTTATTAAAGAGCATAGTTTTTCTGTGTAAGCTATTAAATTTCATGCAAATCCAGCTGTTTCAGTGTAAAGCAGTGAACAAACGTACAAACAATCTTTCGCATTTATAATTGTGTACTGAGTACTCTTGTTATTGTACACTGGACCTTGGATCTTTAATAAAAGATTATTTATAATTTCTGATAGTTGATTTATTTAGTATTTTTCCCATTACAATGTCGTCTGATTGAATATAGACGAATGAACACAGAGAATATTAAACTATTTGATCTATATCAATTGTATACATTTGTAATAAAGAGTTTTTATGAATTAACAGAAAAAAATATACTACTATCATTTGCGTAACTCCTACATAAATTAAATAGCAAACTTTTATTTATCTGAAAAAGTCTAAAAGTGACAGGCACAAAACATAATAGTTCGATGAGTAGTGTACTGTGTAAACCATGTATAATGTATAATATTGTATGTATATCTTATAAAATATTACAGGCGTGTCAAGCCAATGTGCAGGTACCGCCGCCTGTGAGGTGCGGGCCTTTGCCCAGTGCTGTAAGTAGAGTTGCTTCAAATATATTGAACTTCATTGATCTATTTTGTTTTCCTTAAAGTTAAGATGTTAGTAAGCTGTAAAACCGAGGTAATTTTTCTTTACATCTGTGTGTGAGCGTAGTTTTTATAATCTAACTTAGAAATATTTGATGCTGTTTTAAAAAAAAGTAAATAAAGAAACAATTTTTACATTACATTTTTAGACAAAAATAATTCTATAATACGGAAAACTTGGTTGAGATTGATAAAATTGGAACAGCGCAGATTTTTAGTTATGCCTAGCTCCCTAGGACGTTGAACGAGAACATGGAAAAGGACTATGTTGTTTTAATGGCTAATATAAATTTTATATTGATAAAGTATGTAATTGTTGAAAAAACTTATAAAATAAAGACAATAATAAAAATTTACTATTGTCGCTTAGGTACGCATAGATATAAAATTGCAGTTTGTTTATGTTTTAGATACACACATGTATGGGCTCACCAAAAATCGTCAAGCCAGAACTGACGTCTCAGTGTAATAAAGATACGGAGGTAAGAGCTCCCGCGTAAATAGAGTTGTTACATTTTCTGTTAAATAGTTGTGTTTATTTTATACAACGAAAGTTTTGTTAATAAAAACCATATTAGAAGTTCTTTAACCATTTAAAAGCATATTGCAAGATAAGAATATTGTATTGTATGCACGGATAGGTACTATGGATGAGACGGCATTTTTGTACGAGCGGCGAGAGATTAGGCGCAAGTTTTATGTGCTCTATGAGGCAATGTGGTCTAACTTGTTATTATAAGCTAAAAATTCCCAATTAGGTAGGTACCTACTTCTTCTCTGACGAACTCCTCTTTACATAATTTAAGGTCCTATGACTTGCAGGCTGCAGCCATATAACGGATGACTAGACTAATATAATTTGTATTCATTCCTTTTTAACGTCTCACTGCTGGGCACGGGCCTCACTCCAATACGAGAGAGATTAGACCACAATCCACCACTCTGCCCAAGTGCGGGTTGACGGACTTCACATGTCTTTCGAATACTTGTTAAGTTCTCTCAGACACACAGGTGTCTTTACGATGTTTTCACCATAAGACAAGTAATCATGTTGGAAATGATTCGCACATGAAAATATCAGACCCGGGATTTGAACGCGCTTCACTCGGTTACTTAAACGAGAGCGTTACCACTGGGCTACCACTGTCTATTTACACTATTTACTTAACAATAAATATTTACATTTTAGTGTGAAGAAATGACATGCTTATTTCAAAAATCTGGATGGATAAAAGGGGGTAAAGTAGAGAAAGAAGCAATAAGGGCATATTTCGATGAATTCGCCAAGAATCACCCGGAGTGGTCCGCAGCTGTGGTAAATGTGCAGAGTTCCTGTTTATCCGCAGACTTGCCGAGCCAAGGCGTCTTTCTGAACTGCCCTGCGTATGATATAATGATCTGCTCGTATAGTAACTTCATTAAGGTAATACTTTGTAGTTATAACTATCCCATTTTTTACAGAAAGTTTTGTACAAATATATCAACAATCAATCAGGTATATTGCTTCAAAAGTTAGTGTTTTGAGTAGTTAATATACAATTAATACATAATATCTGTTCCTGCGTGAAAGATACATATATACAAACAAACACATCTTTGTGTTTTGATTTTATAATATTAGCTTGTAAGGATATACTATCATTTAAGTCAGTGCAAAATAGCCTAACCTACAATTAAAAAACAGTGAATTTCGGATCTTGCCATCCTCACTTGAAATATCCTTTTTTTTTTTTTTTTTTAACGTTGGGAAATGCATTTACGCACGAAGTGTGGGACTCACCGGCGTAGCCAGTACTACCCACTAAAACCCAACCCTTCCCCCGTCTTAATGGGGCGTCGCAGGATCGCTTACGCATTCAACTACGACGCCCCGACGGCAGGTCTGCCGAAGCAGACCACAACAACCATGGGGTTGCTCCACGGTCCACTCTGCTATCAGAGAAGTACCAGGAGCAACCCGCATGGTAAAGCGGGCCACCTCCCTGTGCGTTTCTTGGCTTCGCGCGTACACTTGAGCACCACTATAAGGTGCGCAGTTGGGGCACTTGAAATATCCTGTCTTATTGGCCGTTAGGAGATATCGGCTAGGAGAACATCATCATCACTAATATTATAAATGTGAAAATTTGTGAGTATGGATGCTTGTTACTCTTTTACGCCAGAACGGCTGAACGGATATGGATCAAATTGCGCATAGAGATAGATTATAGTCTGAAATAGTACATAGGCTACATTTTATCCCGGCAAAATATACGGTTCCCGTGGGATAGATTTGTTGTTATTTTTTTAGAGGCGAACCTGATCGAAGCGAGGGTGAGCCGCTAGTAAATTATAAAACAAAGAGATCATATAATAAACATTTTTATATAGATCAAGACTTATTAAACAGTTTTTATTATAATATATTTTATTATTATAGAATGTTCAACCTTCGCAATGGAAATCGTCAGAGGAATGTAAATATTCTCGTCAGTTCGCGGCTGCGTGTCCGTACTGCCCTGCAGACTGCTTCGCCCCCCTCGTGCCCATAGGTTCCTGTAACGCCTGCCTCGCTTTGCCGAGGTCGCCTTGAGGCTTGATTTATTTTATTTGTGATATGCATCAATAAATGTGGAAAATATCTCGTATTATTATTTTTAACCTTAACATTTTTTTTTGAAATGCAGGAAACAACAAGGAATTTATAATAAAACGTCTCACTTTTTTCTTATATCCCTTTATATTTTTATTTTCAGGAAATAAGTGAACTTAATACATATATGTATATGTACTTAGTTATGTACACAGTTATAGATATACACAAGATAGTTGGAGTTGATAGAAAACCTGGTATGATAGCTATTTATAATACTTAAAAGTATGTAGTCGTAGAGTTCTTACAGTTAATATATTAAAACTAGTTAATAATACAGATAATTAGGAACTAATATTTCATAATTCAGGTCACAGTCACTCAAATTGAAAATTCCAAATATATTATTCAGCATTAAATTATTACATTTTTGACTGAATGTCAAGGGTCTATTATCAGTTCGGAGAGAAGAAGACTCAGACCTGAGAAGAACTAACTAACTAAAGAAACTCAGCGGGACTAATATTATTACGTTATCTTTTTTGTAAATTAAATCCATACTAGTTCATACTATAGTATTATAAATGTTTGTTTGTTTGTTTGTTTGTTTGTTTGTTTGTTTGTTTGTTTGTTTTTTTGTGTGTTTGTTTGTTTGTTTGTTTGTTTGTTTGTTTGTGTGTTTGTTTGTTTGTTTGTTTCTCTTCCTTTCACGGTGAAACGGAGTGACGGATTGGCGTCATTTTTTGTGTGTAGATAGTTGGAAGCCTGGAGAGTTACATAGGCTACGTTTACCGCGTGAAATTATCTAATTCCCACGGGAAACTACGTAATAATACAATCCAAAAAAATATTTATGGTCAGAATTACTTGAAACTCGGTATTAATGCTCTTCAATAAAATTAAATAAACACGTGTTTTAGCATTTTTCGAAATTCATCCTTTATGGGGGTAAAATAGGGGATGAAAGTTTGTATGAAAATACCTTCTTAGAGACTTTTTTTGTAATTTTAGGGCTAGCGATGCCGCGGGTTCTGGTAGTAAATTATAATTTACATTATTTCTATAAAGTTGAAGTAGCTTTGAGGCGATCACTTCATTCCCAAGGCGTGCCATCTACTATTTATTTCATATAAAAAAAGTTTTAATTCATTAAAAGTTTTATTGATTGAAAATCGAATCCACGACCCCTAGCGACTGCTAGCTGTAGCTATCGTCGCATAAGATAGGTAAATGGTAGTTAATCATTGCAGTTCAGACATTATATATCGAGCGTAGGCTATTACGGGTTTTCCGCCCTCGCCTAGAGTCGCGCGTGCGCGGGTTCCGCCCATGCGCGTCTCTTGACACATGTCAAAACCAGTCCACCCTGGCTCCTTTGACGTCACCGGGGAAAACTGAAAATTTGACCAGATTTCGGAAAATCATGTAAAAAAAGGTAAATATACGCTTTCATTTATACCATTTAAATCATTAACTATACACAAGTTGTTAATTATCAGCGAGTAATAGAAAAAAAAAACATCTATTAAGTTTTAATTTTGTGTTATACCTAATTCCGATGGGAATATTCTTAGATTCTAGATTTTTATCATACAATTTTAAAGATCGAGTTTTTGTTGATCAAATATGATTAGTCATTGATCGTGAATCTATTTTTAGCGTTAGGACATCAATTATTATCTATCATTGCGCCTGCCTCGTGACCTTTCATCTTAATTGTGATCTATATCTTTTAATTTCACGCCCACGCACTATTGGTGTTTGTCAGTACACAGTACATTCTATATTGAAGTAAGTACTTATTGCAGCGCTTTAAGAAGGCTGTAATACTCGGATATAATAGCTTTTAAATCCGCCTATTTCAATTTCTTCAGTCGTTCTATTTACTTTGTACACCTAATATTTCATATTTTTTATAAAATATATATATTTTTTATACTTATAAGAAATAATTGACTTATGTATATCGAGTTGAACGATAGTAATAATAGGTACTAACGTCCCATAATATTTCTAATACTCGTAGTGTAGGCATTGCTAAGATAAACCTCTACCAACTGTGTATGAAAAACTATTTTTATTTTATATTATAGGTTTTAGCCAGTTTTTGTTAGGAAACTCTAGTAAGTATTTGTTTTTTTCTATACAGAAGTTTATTTATGATGTTATCATATATAGCGCTTATCTGATAATGACTGATAAGAGTTCAATAAAATGGACATTGCGGCACACTACGTAAAGTCGACGCGTGTGTAAATGTTATAATCACTGTGTATTTGTTATGATAGTTTTTATTGAAGTTGTCTGTGACTTTTGGCGATTGTTTTAATTTAAAATGATTTTTTTGTTGTATAATGTGGATCAGACACGAATCCTGTGGAATACAGGAGTAGAGTAAGTTAATAATTTATTTAATTGCGTACACATCTTAATATAGTGTTTATTAATTGTGAGCTAGAAAAATATACAAAATTTAATTTTTTTTTACTGATTAATCTAGATTCGTGGTGAATTACCCGACTACGGCGAAGCAAACGGAGGGTTATTTACTTATATTTAAACTAGCATTGCCCGCGGCTCCGCCCGCGTTCAGATGACCAAAAACCAAATTCTTAGGTTTTAGATTAGTATTCTCTTACATTGCAGTTTTGCATTTTTTCTCAGAAATGAGATATTTTCCCGCGGTAAAAAGTATCCTTTATGTTGACCCGAATAACCAGCTATCACCATACCAAATTTCATCAAAATCCTTCCAGTGATTTTTCTGTGATACGGTAACAGACAGACAGACAGACAGACAAAAATTCTAAAAACTATAGATTCGGCCTCTGTATCGATAATAAAACCTATTTCGATAAGATTTTCCAAAAAATATTTAATGTACAGATTCGGCTTAGTTACAATTTTATTATATTTTATAATTGTTTTTACGATAGTTACCCCTGAAAGTAATCGAAGTGCCAGCTTTTTGTAGTACAATATCAGATAGAAGGTAAAAAAAAAACTAAAGCGTTATGTTGATAAATGAGAGAGTCCTTTAAACACTTTACAATGGACTTTAGCTTTATTATTTTGCATTATGCCTTATTTTTGATCATGAAATTACCAAATTTAAACGTAAATAAATATTTACTTACTCTATTCCCTTACCTGACATTTACCAGTACAGAACTTTCGATTGCTCAAACTAAATCAATACTCCACCGGCAACATGCTCTGCTATAACAAATTGTACATAAACTTGCTTGATTGCTATTAAAATGCTAATATATGTACTTTCTATTAGACATCGAATATTGGCAGTTAAAATAATTATATACTGACATTCATTTTTTATATCTGAACCCGCCCCCAAAATAAATAAAATTAAAATTTTGCTGCTAATGCCGGCCGGCCTGATAATGTTTTCCATGCTAGAAAAAGAAAAATGTTTAACGAATGGTTCGTAAGTAATAATTGCGAACAGATTGTGGGAGATTTTATGTTTTATAGAACTAATAAGCTCTTAATGGCGTTTAAAGAGCTTTATAGCAGAGCTGCTTAAGTTACAAGTATGATTCTTGAACGATTATTATTTAGTGTGATAAATAGAAATTATTTTTTGGAGACAGTGGTTGCCTAGCGGTAACGTGTTCGATTGGGAAACCGAGTGAAGCGGGTTCATATCCGGGTCTCGCACCTCTGATATTTTCTTGTGTGATACATTTCCAACATTATTACCACTTATCTTATAGTATAGGAAAATATCGTAAAGGAGATTTCGAAAGACATGTGAAGTTCGCCAACTCCCACTTGGCCAGCGTGGTGGTTTACGGCCTGATCCACCTCGTATTGAAGGGAGGCCCGTGCACACCAGTGGGACGTTAAAGAGGGCTGAATACATACATAGATATTTTATGCCACTAGTATAATTTATTGGGTAGCCCTAAAGTGAATAGTTCAAAAACCAATATTATATACCTACTACAACAGAAATTAGATACCTACTCGTATGTATGCAGTATGTTAATGCATACAACACCTAATATTAGATCATATACTAAAAGTCAAGCATTCTATTAAATCCGCTTCGATATTATTTTATTCCCCTTAGGAAATTCACTACATGGGTATGTGATTGCGTTGAAAGCTTCTATATGTTCAACAACACGTTCAAGTACCTATTGTAAAATTGCAAAGAGAAAACTAGAAACTGCGCTTTAAGAGGAGACTTACGTAGCTTTTTTCGATCTTATTTTCTTTAGAGGCGAAAACTTTTGGACTTCTAAATCTTTAAATTAATAATTCCAATTTTGCCTTTTTCTTGAATACAAAAGGAAGATTAAAATCATTTGTTACTCTTATTTTAAAGTCCTAATAGTTGTATTTTTACACTATTTACCTGCAGATATTAAATAGACTGATGTAAACAAAAAACTTGATTTCCCGGGCAAAAATCATAAATAAGTATATTGAGAGTTTATTAAATTTATTTACTTTTTAGAATTTTAATGTTCTTATTATAAAATTTAAGGTAAGCAAGTACAATCATCATGTTCGAGGGCGCCGTCGCCGGTATCCTTAACCGGCTTTTGGGTAAATACGTCCAAGATTTGGACACGGAGAACCTAAATGTGGGCATCTTTTCTGGAAATGTCAACCTTACTGATCTTAAACTCAAGCCTGAGGCTTTGGTAAGTACAGACTTATGACGTAAATTATACGTATGTCATTTTTTGTATTACATTGGTAGCATTAAAATATGCTTAAAAATATCTTCTTTATTTGTGTAGTTTCATATAGTTTGTCCAATTAAATACATCTGTAATAACATCGTTATTAAAGAAACAATTTATCAAGACGTATGAAATATAAATCAAATATTAACTTACAGTATGAATTGGACTTGCCAATAGATGTGAAAATTGGTACCATCGGTAAAATCAACCTGCAAATACCATGGTCGGGACTGTATACACAACCCGTGATGGTTCACATCGAAGACGTCCTTATTTTGGTAGGACCAGCTATTTCTAACAGCTATTTTGACCCTGAGAGGGAAAAACGCTTGACAAGAGCAGCTAAAAGGAAGATTTTGCAAGACCTTGAAGCAGAAAGCGAAGTCTTAAAGGGGCCGCAGAACTTCTTCGAACACTTGTTTACTGCTATTGTGAATAATCTACAGATCTACGTGAGAAATGTTCACGTTAGATATGAAGATTCTATAAGCTCTAAAGATGGGCCACTCGCTTGCGGCCTGTGCTTGCAGAGCCTTTCCATAGAAACTACTAACAGGTATAATAATTTTATTAATAATAAAAATCGGTGAGTTGATCGGCATAAGAAACATATTTTTGCAAAAAATAATTAATGATACTGTTTTTTTTTTAATTTTGTGCAGAAGATCTGTACTTCTACTAAATTAATGATTTGTTTTAAATATCTTCTTTACGGTCATTTCTCTTACAAAATCTTATTTACACACTAATTTAATAATATTCATAATATATGTACGAGGAAAAACTTCTTTTAGCAAATGGAAACCATCAGTAACTCCATCAAATGCGTCTACAGTTTATCAAATGATGCGTGTAGAATCGCTGTCTCTATACTGGAATCCTACGGCCACAGCGCTTGATGATGTGGAAATAGCTCATATAACTCCAATGCAGTATTACAATTGGAAGCATTATATGCTCACTGGGTTGGACAAATTTTCTATGCATCATGAGGATTTTGAGTTTCGTAAGTGTTATTGTCTATGAAAAGTTCCAGAATTAAATCTAAGTAATTGTTTTTACCATGTTGTCCTAGAATAATTTTCAGATACTTTTAAACCCTTAAAATATTCTGACTAGACTTTTGGCTTGTTTCAGTGTTAAGACCTGTGACCTGCAAAGTTAAAGTGATTATAAATCGATCAGGCGAAGCGAGAGTGCCTCGTTTACTTCTTGATGCAGTATTACAAGATAGCGCATTACAATTATCTAGACGACAATATCTTTCCATAGATAACTTACTTACTTCTTTCCAGAGGATTACTCTTAATAGGTAAAAGAATGCGATTATAGTAAAATATATAATTAACCTAATAAAAGAGGAGACTTAATTATTTTCTAAAAATCTTTTCCTCTATTTTATTAGTTGCTTGCTATTATTCTTGGAAATCTATTCAAGGCAGTGGTAGCCCAGTGGTAACGCGCTCGCTTGGGAAACCGAGTGAAGCGAGTTCAAATCCCGGGTCTCGAACTTATGATATTTTCATGTGCGAATCATTTCCAACATGATTACCACTTGTCTTAACGGTGAAGAAAAACATCGTGAGGAAATCTGCATGTCTGAGAGAACCTAGCAAGTTTTCAAAAGACATGTGAAGTCCGCCAACCCGCACTTGGCCAACGTGGTGGACTATAGCCTGATCCCCCTCGTATTGAAGGGAGGCCCGTGCCCAGCAGTGGGACGTTAAAAAGGGCTGAATACATAGATACATACATACATTCTTGGAAACTGTCAAAATTTCGAATTCGTAATAAATTGTATAAATTTAGGATTTTTAATTAGAAGGATTCTTTTTAGGAAATATCGCCACCTCCATCCAGGCATACCATTATCTAAAAACGTGCAAAAGTGGTGGAGATACGCCTACAACGTGGTCGTAGAACAAAGAGTGCGGCCTTACACATGGGCTGCTATAAAGAAGCACAGGGAAAATTATAACATATACAAAAAAACTTATAAGAGTACGTTGCGAAGTCCCAACGATATAGAGCTTAAGTTAGACTTGCAAAAATGTGAAGACAGTCTGCCGATTATTTCTGTAGTTATTGCAAGAGAACAAGCTAAATTCGAGGTAAGTTTAAACTTTTTTTTAGGGACGTTTACACAACATTATGAGATGGTATGTTTATATAAAAGTCTATCATGTTACTGGGTGGGTAAGAGGGATTACCCATATTCTACACCTGCCAGTGAAAATCACGTTCGGTGTTACCGTTTAAGATACCTTAAAATTAAGATTTATGGTGGCCATTAACAAAAGAATAATGGCGTATGGCGTAATAGCAATTCAAAACCCAATAACAAAATAAAACAATTAATAGCGAAAATGTGGACTTGAGTAATATTACATTTTATGCGACTTTGCAGCTGTTATCGCAAGAACCAGATAGAATAGACGTGGTGGAGACGGAATTTGATTGGTGGAAACCGACATCTGAATACGAAAGCGATTCAGAAACCGAAGCAAAGTCGCGTGTAGAACTTTGTGTTAAAACTGAGAGATGTAAAAGCTTATGGAGTCATCTCTCTAGCCCTGAAAAGAAGAAAGTCTGTGAACTGATAGGTTATGCCGAGGGTGCTCCAAGGCCAGACAAATCTAAACAATACATTGGTAAGTATTGCTTTCTCCTCACTCAGTAATTTCTAAAAACTAAATAAACAAATGTTATAATTGCGAGATAGTGTTTTTAGGTAATAATATCTTAAACCGGTACTTTATCTAAACTAAACGAGAAAAATAAAATGAAAAAGTGAGAAAAATATGTTAAAAATAGCAAATATTGCTAAGTGAGAAATTATTTAGATTTAAACATTTCCAATGATTGAATTTTTTTCAGAGCACAAACTCAATTTAACTCTAGCACATTGCACAGTAACGTTGATGAACAGAAGTAGAGAAGTGTTGGTGGTAAACCTCACGCAGTTTCTCTTGTCTTTAGAGACTAGGCCATCTGCTAAAGCATACAAGGTAAATAATAATTTTACAACTACATAATATACATATATATTATGTATATGACAATACACGCACATCTGCCCTCCCGAACCTAAAGTGCAGTAACAGCAAAAACACGAATTCGAGAAAAACGCGCCTAAAGTTTAGAATCCATAAAAATACATCAAAAAGAGACTTTTCGATAAAACCTTGAATGGAAAGTGAAAGAATATGTACCAAACTAAAATATTAAACATTGTTACGTTAGTTTTTTTTATAAAAAACTATAATTATGGCAATTTTAATTTTTTAGCCCCTATTACTACACACACTTTATTTGTATAATCTTTTCAAAAACTGTTTTAAATGCAGTAAATCCTGTTATTACTGCATTTTAGACATTTCTTCCATGATTGTTACTAACTAAAGTGCAGTAATATTATGAAAATACTGCTATTTAATCTGTTTTTTTGAACAAAACACTCATATTCCACACTTATAGTAATATAAAATTACCTTTAATTTTGATAAAAATATGTAATTTCTTAAACAAAACTGGACATGCATTTATGACTATGCTATTAAAACTATTCATCAAAACATTGTACATTATAATCTAATAGTGTAAATTGTTTTATATGACTAACAATATAACAATCTTTACAAGATGTTGATAATCTTAACTAGTTAATCCACCATAAAACTATATCACATGTATTTCTCATGCATGGATCAATAAAATTTACTTAAAATCTTTCTTTTGAACATAACTAATTACTAAATGAGTATTCTTGTCTTACAAAAATAATAGTCTGAAAAGATTATGGAAGGGAGAACCAAGGATAATTAACTTATATGGGAAACAAGTTGAAAAAGTGTCCAGTAGTGAGCAGCAAATTATAGCTCAGAAACTCACCGTTACAGCACTAGCGTAGCAAGTAGATGTGATGTGAAGTTAGGAGTTTTTAACGGAGTGAAGTGTGCTGAATTATTATTACTTGAAAATAATATATAATTATATTGCTGTTTGCCTATGCTAGAACTATTTTGAAAAGTGCGCCACAGCAAAGCGGAAATCTTTCTTTCCTTGTTTAATTCACCTTCTTACTTTTATGACGCTATGTTTTAAACTAGCGACTCACCCTCGCCTCACTCGGGTTCGTCCCTGGATACTTTTTTTTTTGAGCGGAACTCTAATTCTTTTTTAAAAATAAAAGTAGCCTATATTACTCCCTATAACATCAGTTACCTTCCACTGAAAGTCCGTCAAAATCAGTCCAGCCGTTTCAGAGATTATTCGGAACAAACAGACAGACAAAAAATTTTAAAAGTTAGTTTCTCTTATAAGTACCGTATATAATTTCATATGCATTTAGTAAAAAGGTTTATTTTGACATTACAAACAGACACTACAATTTTATTTATCTGTATAGATGTATAGATTCGTATACTTGTTTTCTGTGGCGCCACCAATATAATGCTTGTCAGCGGTCACTTTTTATACGAGAAATAGTTCTCCTTAGTTCTACCCTCCATATCTCTTTGGTACAGACACAGCATGGCATGTCAAGTCAGCCTTAAGCCACAGATCCTTGAGACAGACAGACAGAAGGACTGCCTCAAACCGCGATATTGCTTGTCCTGTGTTTTAATATTTTAATAATTTTACCTATTAAAACACACAAAACAGGCAGTGGTAGCCCAGTGGTAACGCGCTCGCTTGGGAATCCGAGTGAAGCGGGTTTAAATCCCGTGTCTCGCACCTCTGATATTTTAATGTGCGAATCATTTCTAACATGATTACCACTTACGTTACGGTGAAGGAAAACATCGTGAGGAAACCTGCATGTCTGAGCAAACCTAGCAAGTTTTTTAAAGACATGTGAAGTCCGCCAACCCGCACTTGGCCAGCGTGGTGGACTATGGCCTGATCCCCCTCGTATGAAGGGAGGCCCGTGCCCAGCAGTGGGACGTTAAAAGGGCTGAATACACATACACACCTATTAAAACACAGTATTAGGGAATAGTATTTAACTTTAAGTATTTTAGGTAGTATGACTTGGATGGAGCAAACTAACTAATATGCAGTAAAATTTATAAATATTGTAAACTAAATGGTCTTTTTCAAGCAACTACAAAACATCCTACAAGTTAAACTGCAGTAAAGTTATTAAATACTGCATGTCTTTTAGTTTTTCACAAGAAATTACAAAATCCCCCACAAGTTAATGTGCAGTATGGAATGTTAATACTGCACTTTAATTAGGAATATAAATAAAAAATATTTTTTCTTTACCTTTGCAGTATAATCAATTTGTATAGAGTCGAATAATACTGCATTTTAATAAGTTTTTTCTTGAATCTCCTAGAACAAACTACTATTTTAAGTGCCACAAAATATGATAAAACACTGCAGTTTAGTTAGGAAACAGAGAAAAATCTTGTGCAGTATTAATTGTACTGCGGTTTAGCTGGTAAACATAGAATATTTTAACAGATTTGTGATATTTTTTCTGTTACACTTTCCGAAAAAACATTAAAATAAAATACTTTTATTAGCGCTACAGAAAAAAGAATTAATTTGACTGATAGCTACTAAAATGGGGATTTCGAATATATATTTAACTCAAAACCGACCAAAATGTCTATTACTGCACTTTAGGCTCAGGTGGGCAGACATGTAGTGAATATCAAATTTCATTAAAGTTTGAAGTAATTCGTTAATAATAAAAAAAATTTTTTCATAATCTACCAGAAATACTTCCAGGAAAATTTAATGTCACAATCCTGTTTCCTTAAACTCGAATTATGGTATAATTCTTCTCAACCAGATATCAGCTCGTACGGAAAGCGTGGTAATAGAAGGCATGTCATCGGACGGAGAACTGATGCCTTTACTGGTGGCAGCTCAAGGATCCCCCGTGGGCAATAACACAGTGCTAGCAGTAGACGTGGAGAAAAACCCGGCGAACAGTCATGCGGACCTAGGTGTCACATGCCATGTGGAGCCATTTGAAGTGGTCTATATTGAAGTATGTTTCTTTTAGTTATTCATTTCTGCATTTATAATATGCAAAGGTTACTACTGTTCATATATGTATACATATTTATAATAAAATATTCATGTATGTTGTATGCATAATTGCAGCTAGAAGTTAGTTATTTGGTCAGTCTTTTTAACTTTTTCTTTTTTTATTTCAGCACGCGTGCACTGAACTGATTAACTTCTTCCAAACCCATTCAATGACATCAGAAGAGTTGGCGGAAGAATTCTCCCTAGCAGTAGAACAAGTTGGTGCCATGAGTAAGTCCGTGTTAGCTCACGCGATCAGTCGCAGGAAGATCTTCCACTTGAACGTGGATATTAAAGGACCGACTGTCATCCTGACTGAACACGGTTGTGTACAGAAGTAAGTTATAATATTGAAGTATAATAATAATTCTGTTATCTTTTATTAAATATATTAATTTGTAATGATAGGAAGTGTTTTAGTTTTCAAGAAAAACCACCTTATGGCTCTTTTTCGCATCAAAATATTATGTAATTATTGACGTCCTGTCTTTTTATCATTGCTTCATAAAGAAAAGGAATGAATCAAAGAACAGATTTTCATTAAATCGTATAAATATTTAGTTTAACGTGTAAAATTTTAAATAAATCATGATAAACATTGCAGGCCCGGACGTGTAATGATTTTGGACGTCAACCGAATAGTTATAAAGTCAGATCTGCAACCATCCAACTTAACTTTAGAAGATGCTACGTGTATGGAACTGGAAGAGAGACTGTACGATCGTTTTCATGCCGAATGTTCCTTTCAGGTGGATATTATATTTTACAAGCAATCATTGTTAAAATTGATTTTTTTTGGTTAATTGTTATTTTTATGATTTAGATCACGGTGGATTTTGGGAATTTTTTATTTTCTTGCATCTTTAACTTTAACACCTCCAGGTAAATTTCTAAGAAATTAATTAAATTTCTAAGAAATCTATTGTTAACTGTAACGCCGGCGTGTCCGCGGTCGTTGAGGGATCAACATTCTTTTAACTTTTACTTTGAGGTGGTAGATTTTTGGTATGTTTAATTATTACGCTCGCTACTTTACTTATATTTAAATTTATAATATCCATACTCCATTCAAGAATAATAAAGAATATTCTTTCAAAAGACCAGTGAGAAACGTGTGCTATTCAATTAGGAAGTATTTATACTACAAGTCAGGTATTTAACTGTTGTCACATGTATTTTAAGCAGATATATATCTACGCAGTGTTTCTACCTAAGTATATCTGTAGATTAAAACACAATTTGAACTGATTTGCGATACCCAACATTGTGTTGCAACAATAAATTGTATGTTCAATACAATGTCTCTTTGGATTCAGGTGTTGTTCTGTGAATGGAACGAGTCGTGGCGGGAGGCGCGCAAGCATGGCGACTCTGAGATACATTTGATACCGCGACTTCGTGCGCAGTTGGTTTTCTCTACTAGTATAAAGAAAGATTATAAATTGTTACCAAGGTAAAAATGATAAAAATATTTTTTAATAGTAAAAAGCTTTTATTAAATATTATATTTAAAATTGATCAATATTTAGACAAACGCTGTTTTCATACAGCTTCCCAAATATTTAAATTTCAGAGCAATTATTTTTTTATATTCCGTCGTTTGTCTTTTCCAAATTAACCATTGTTATATTTTTCTTCAGATACAAACTCAACATTTCGTTGTCAAGTCTCAAATTCAACCTCTCCGATCGTATCATAGGTCATCTCTTAGACTTCTTTGATAATTTGCCGGTGCCAGTACCAAACACTGTGCCAGTTTCCTTCATGGATTCCGGAGATTACGTTGAGGAGTTGGAAGATCCAGACCTGATCGAAGCCCTGGTAATGGACAGAGTGACTGCTGACCCAGGTTACAAGGAGTTGGTGAAATTGAGACAGAAGATCGTGACTGCTTATTTTAGTAGAAACAGGTAGATAAAGTAGTAATAGGTTATATATTATGATGTATGTAAAGGAGATGGAAACCTATGAAATATGAAATTTTATTAGGACGTCCTATTATGGATAGTTATCAAAATTATTTGTAATAATTGTAGAATAATAAAAATTTAAAACTACTCAACATAAAGAAATTGTTAAATTTTCAACTTATAGCAATATAAATTTTAGGGCAGCAGAAACAAAAGTAGATGGTGAGAGTGCAAAATCACCAGCAGAAGAATCTTTACCTGCCGCCGACTTCAGCGACGAAGACGTAGAAGAGTACGCTCGGTCGGTCGACTTGCCTGGATTTGACGATAATGTGTCGCCTAGCAACACTATTGGCACTTTGATGAGGTTTATTATTGGTAAGATTTATTTTTAAATATACAATTTTTTAAATTTTTCTTTTATTTTATGGTAATGACGTGACCTGTTGTACTCTGTACAGTAATGATTAATTCGTATATTTTTATTAAGTTTTTTGTTATATTATGTGCTATATATAAAAAGATATTATGAAATAAAAAGACAGAATAAATTTTATTGCATCTTTGAGTCAAATGCTTAAACTACTAAGTATACAATAATGTAGACACAATAATAAAAATAATTTTCCCTCCGTCCAGGCGAAATAGTGATCAACTTAAACCGGTCAAGCGAAATGACAGACAAACCATACATAATGTTAAACGTTAGCAAGGTTTGCTTGGACGTGGCACTGATGCAGTTCGGGCCCGCCATACAACTGTCTATAGGACAAGCTCTGCTAACTGATAAACAACATCACAGCAGCACTGGGCAGTACTTGGAGTTGTTGACGAGCTCTGGCGAGCTGTTCAACCTTTTGTATAGGAAGGTGGGTTTCCTCATAATGGTATTTAGTATTTTCTTCTAAAATGAGTCAAAAATGTTTATGGATTTTTTTTACACATACACATTTTGAAAAAAATGATTGTAAAAAATGTTTAACTTTTATAGGAATAAATTAAGAGGTCTTAGTATTTATATATGCCTATATATTTAATCAAGTAACACAGAATTTCTCAATATTCCGTAACCTTGTGCATAAATTCTAAAAAGAGTGCCTAAATTAATATCCAAACAATATTGTTCGACTACTAAGAATCATACTTAAAAGTTAAACTTTCAACAGGTCCGTGCAAATTGCCCAGAGTTTCGCTCTCACTTTCATAATGTCGAGCAAGCGTTAGTGGCTGATGTTGGGCCATTAATGGTTCTAGCCAACTCTGCAGCGATAACTACACTCTACAAGTACTTACACTATATACGAAGAAAGTGAGTACACGTTTTAGATTTAATAAACTTTTTTAATCAGGGGAGAAATGTAAATTATCTACTTACTAATATGCATAATATTTTATAAATGCCAAATTTTGATTATTAGCTTTTTAGCACGTAAATAATGTAATAATGAAAAAAATTACCAATTCTTTAGAATACAAAGACGTCACTCAGTAAATCTGAAGAGCATAGTTCTTCCCAAGACCGCAAGACTATGGGATTATCTGATGAAGCCAGAAGCAGATCCTCCCGTACCTCCTGGCGCTACTAAGTTCAGCTATTCTATGAGGTAAACTTTAGTTTAACCCAACAAACATCTTTTTATAGTACCATTTCATTTGCCTTCATACGCACACTTGTGGAAGAAACTGTTTCCAGGCAACACTTAGAAAACTATTTTTTTGTAGTATATATAATATTTTTTTTAGTATATATAAAGTATATTTTTAATTTATAATTGACATTTATATTGGTCTTGATTGGTCAGGATTAAATTTTAAATTCTAATTTAAAATTGCATGGTGTTTTGGACTTTAGTTATATAATTGACATGAGAAACTGTAAATGACAGTTACCAGTTAACACTTACGAGTACTTACTCGTAGTTTAATTAGATAGAGCCGTACATTCTTCTCTCATATCTAAAGAACTTAATTCCATTGCTTCTCTATGGTAACATAATAATTATTATTTACAGATTATCTTCAGTAACAGCAAAGTTATCTCAAGCAGATAACCCACTAGTGGAAGTACGAATAAGCGCGTTGGAGAGCGACTGTGTGTTTAGAGCCAATGACAGACTCATCTTTAAATTGTTCTTAGGATCGTTGCACGTTGATGACTTGGCTGACGCCACTTTATATCCCAAGGTATTAATTTATTTAATTGATTTTTCTGATATTTTATAATTTGTCAATACAAATAAATATTAACTAATAATACAATTTGTTACAAATATTATTCGCCGAAAACTAACCAATATACCCATAGAAGTTTATCACCCCCTCGGATTTTCCTACTACATAAAATCTAAAAATCGTCATCTTCTCCCTGCTTATTTCCCAAATCACTTGGGGTCGGTGCAGTATATCGTCCGTAATGCTGATAGGATTTGACAAAAGCTTTACAACCGGCCACCTCACGCCTGCCTGACATCAAACCTCCTTGGGAATGCTATTGTTTATCGCGGACCTCTTGTAATATGCATATTACATATTGTTTTCTTTTAAAACATTTTTATAGTATTACTTAAAATATTAAAGTAATTTTCTGATATATTTTGAAATAAATATTGAACACACAATAAATTTTGTTTAGATGTTGTAAATTTCTTTCAATGTTGCAAAAAAATCAAAATCGAAATTAATTGAATATTTAGTTGTCCAGCTAGGTAATTATTATAAAATAATTAATATTGATGTGCTTCACTTTTGAAACAGTAGCTTATTCAAACTCATTATTTAGTCGATAAATGAAATGTCTCCCACAGTTGGTTTGGCCAGACGAAGACAAAGTGATAGAGATCAAGTATGTGCGCTCCGCCTCAGGAACCCGCACGCGCTCTGACGCCGAGCTACGCATACAAGTTGGCAGGCTCCACGTCGTGATGTTTTGTTCTTTGCTGTACCATTTACAGGTAACGATCAAACAACTATTGTAAATGCATTTGTGACTGTGCTAGTGTGTTCCGTCACAGTAAAATGGCTGGACGGATTTGGATGAAGTTTAGTACACAGATAGAATTTGCCCTGGAATACATAGGCTACTGTTAGGCACGTAGAGTTTTGAGCGATATCCGAAATGAAGATAATTCGATATTTATATCCTTTTCTATTGTTGGGAAATGTGTTTATGTATACTGTCTGTATAACAGGAGGTCACTCACCGGCTGAAAGAGTGATCACTATATTCCAAAACCATCGGCGTCGCAGGATAAACCACGATACCCTAACGATAGCTTATATCCTGGTCCTGGAACCGGATATTTTATTATGATTTATCTACCACAGGAACAAACCGAACTAAAACTATTGTAACAATTGATCTGATAAATTACGATAGTTTAATAATCTAATTTTACCGACCATTCCTATCTCCTTCATGTCTTGTCAATGGAGTAGACATGAAGGGGATAGGAATCTTCACATGGAATGCCATGTTACATTGTCAAAGTAATATGTGCTAAACTGGCACGTTTTGAAGCTTCACAAGCACAAGAGAATTGAATTGAACATTGAACCTAAATATTCTGTTGTAGCAATTCCTAGAGCCGCTAGTTCCGAGTACGGCGGCATCGGAGGCGGCGCTCGCAGCAGAACGCGCTGCACAAGAGAAAGCTGCTGCTTTGCGAACTGCTCCTTTGAAAGTTAACTTGGCTATTGAGGTAATCTCACTTCAAACTATACTATTTTAAATGCGAAAGTTTGTGTGTTTGTGTTACTCTGTATGCTGAGACGGCTAGATGGATTTGGATGAAATATCGTACACAGATGGACTACGATCTGGAGTAACATATGGCTGTTGTTGGGCACCTGAGACCATCCTGCTTAGCCAACAGTAGTTTTAGTAACATTGCTTAAATTCGGAATAGCCCTTGCATGTAGTTATGACAACTGCTTCAGTTCGTTTTTGGCCATACATATATATGTTATTCATATATAGTAGCTATAACAAATATGTAATGCCTTTATGTACAAGATAGTTGCTAAAAATTACATATTTTAGATACAATTAAAATATTATATTTTAAGTAATATTTAATTTCTAGATACACGCGCCCGTACTTCTTCTTCCTCAAAAGCCATCTTCACCAAATCTGTTAGTTCTTAACATGGGTAAGAGTTTATTTTCAAATGTTATTAGTTTTCGAAATTTTTGTAATCACTATCCATAATTATTTTGATATTTATTAATCTACAATGGACTAGGCATTAAAGGTATTTCAGGCTAGAAGTTAGACAACACTGTTCGTTTAAAATTCACTAGTTTTAGACGAATAATGTAGTCTAATTAATTCTAACCGGTGTTTTTTTTAAAGTTGGCTGTTGTAAATTAAAATTAGTATATTTTTGTAAGGATAGAAGAGTAAAAATAGTTACTTCTCCTCTTCTTCATACAAAGTTTTATTCTTTACTAGGAAGTACGACTTGGGTCTTCTTTGGTACGACTTAAGTCGTTCCTCGGTGCTCGTCTAAGGAATACAAGAAACTTGTGTGCAAATTTATGTTTTCCTAAAACTAGCTAGCGGCTTATCCAAAGTTATCCGTTATGAAGGCTATTAATAAACTTAAGATTTTAACGAGATAGACTATTATCTTAGTTTCTTTAAAGATAAAGTATTTTAGTTTTGATTCAATTACACATTTAATTATTTCCAGGCGATTTACTAATCGAGAATTTCTTCAAATACGTAAACGCGAGTGTTGAAGCAAGCACTCCGGTGAACACTCCGGTTATAGACAACGTCTTGATAAAGCTTGTCAATATCACGCTATCTCGCGCGGTGATGACGCTCGCTGGCACTTTGGAAGTACAGGTATAATTTCTAAAATTTCAAATATACCAAACAATATTTCCTATACCGAGTTACTTAAATCAGACTTTCAGAGGAAAATGTAAGAGCGGACTGTTGTACTTGAAAACTGCTGAACTTAATGTATAAAACTGGCATGTGCTATAAATTAATACAAACTAAGGGATCAACTCTTCAATAAAATACCAAGTTTAACATAATACTTTCTTAGATTTACGCGAATATTAAACATTTTAAATAAAACTATCTTTTCAGATTTTCTCCTTCTCAGATTGCTGTAAAGCATTCGAATCGTCGGCAAATTTGATATACCTTCTTTTTTAAAATAATCTTTTATTTCTGAAATGATTACAGGAACCGATTTTAGAGTCAATATCAGTACGTTGTGATCTTAAGCGCGTTATTAGTTATGCGCAAGTTGCTACCACTAGTGCATATCGAGATCTGCTCCTGTGCGAGGCTGACGTTGTGATGGATGTTATCACTATTAATTTGGGACAGAAGGATTTGGCTACTGTTTTAGCTGTTTGGAGCGATAATATCGGCGAAGGTCATTATATTGGTAAGAAACGTCAAGTTTGATATATTCTAAGCTGTATTGAACTCTAGATAATGACTATAATTAATATGTAGAGTTTATTAGCGTTTACTTTTATTTCCGATTTTTACGATTTTTACACGCGTAGAGCGCTACTATTACCCTTCTACTGCCTCAGCTTTATTATAATGCATTATGAGCATCTCTACAATACTTTCTTTTTATGTTATGTTAGCTGTTATAACTTATCAGACAATATAAAATACGACCACCACCACTTCTATTCACGGGAATCTTTGTCAATTTTACTTCTTCTATATCGTGAAATGTTTTTACAAAATATTTCATATAAAATTTTGATATATTTTTAGATAAAAAGCAAAATTAACTTTTAAAGAATCTTTGTTCTGAGATTTTTTTGAAAATTGTCTCTACGCAATTATTTTCTCGCTTTTTTAGCACGCATAATTTTCTCCCCTGTCTGAAACGATAAAGATGGCAAAAAATACATTTTGTTAAACAAAAACTGTAATTACTGTTATAAAAAAAAATAAAAATGTCATTGCTTCTAAAACTTTCTAAACTAAGATTTTAAGAAATGTTTATTATATTAGGTAATTTGGTTCCAACTTCACCGGTGGAAATCGCACCGTCAGACGCAGCCGTGAAAAAGTTGCAAGCGTTCTTCGCTCAGGGTGAGCCAGTGAGGAAGGAGTCGGTTCTTAGGTAATTACGCGCCTAACTGTTTCATCTTTACTAATATTATAAAGAGGTAAAGTTTGTGAGCTTTTAAAGTTGTAGGGGATAATCTCTGGATTTACTGAACCGATTTAGATGAAATTTGACAAAAATATAGTTTGAGATCCTGGCTAGGACATAGGATACTTTTTATCCCGGAAATAGTCCCTGAAGGGGGTGAAAATGGAGATGAAAGATTATATGGGAAAACAAGTTAGGGACAAATCCGAGCGAAACGAGGGTGAGTCGCTAGTATAATATAAATAAAAAATTAAATAAACCGCCATAAACAGTAATGCAAAAAAAACTATATATTTACCAACTTACAATCACACAACTAATTGTGAAAATCAAAGGTAAATATCTTCCGGAATCTTTTGTAAAACTTATTTCTGGATTAAAATAAATATTTTTTCAAAAACTTTACGAGAAATATTAATGTTATTTTTAGATTTACCCTAGAAGGTATAGAACTGAAGCTTTTTTCCGATATGGATGAAGTACTAAGTTCTCCAGTTAGAGATCTGAACCATGGTTTAGCGAAGATGACAGCAGGAGAAGCGAATGTGCATTTCGATTACTATTCAGATAGCAGTATTGAGGTGAAAGCGAGTCTACAGAGTCTCCTGATAGAAGATATACGACCTGATTCTACTGTTGTTATTAGAAGGTTAGTTTGAAGCTCAAGAGGTACAGAAACTAAGAAAACATTATTTCGTAATCAGTTTAATGTAATAGAATTTATTATATAATATAAAGTAGGCAGTAGCTGGCCCAGTCCAATCGAGTCCAGTCAACATTTTAAATATTTTTTTATGATGTTCTTATAAAATAACATGTTTCATAATTCGTGGAACTTTTTAAAAACATAACTAATGACAGATCACAGCATTTTTTTTAATTTATATAGTCAAACCCAATTCAAATACTAAATTAAAATTTTCTCCAATTTATACTAACCCGAGAAAGGAAATGTGCTCTAAAATTAAACATATGTCACCTTATTATCTATACCTATCTATTATAAATTTACAAAATTAATATACTATTTCAATGTCTGCAATATATTTCATAATTTTGTATCTGCCATATTGTTTTTCAGAATTTTCGAATCCCAAGGCGGTGGTAGTAAAGCTAGCGCGGGCTTCTCAGTAGTGCGCCCGGCGTTGCTCGAGGCGTCACTACGTCGGTCAGCTCGCGCCATCACGTTGGATGTGAGAGTGGAGAGGACGAGGTTGAACCTTGCCTTGCCTTTCTTGTTGAGGCTAGCTAAGAGCTTGTTAGATGCTATGCCAGGTCAGTCAGCTTAAGGCCAAACTCTATAATCGCTAATAGAAAACTTAAGTATACATACATACACATGCGTAAGTTGTCACGAGATTTTATAGATTCTATATACATACATAGTTAAATTTACTAATTCTCTCTATTAAAGTTACAAGTAGTACTTTCTAAGTCTAAGATGGTCTCTGATAAGAAAATTGACTTTGTCAATAATTTAATATTTTTATCTTGGGCTAACCATGGTTATGGCGCGTTAATGTAAAATTACCGTGTTTATGGTATTAATTTTAGACATGTTTATTGGGGTTTCATTAAATTTGCAATAAAAGAACGTTAAAATAATAAAACTATTTAAAACATATCTATTTTTTGCTAAGTAATTGTGGTTATTTTGATTACTAAAATAATATTTTAACTTTTATTTGGTGATCAGGTGACAAAACAATGGAAGGCGGTGTAGTGAACCACGGCTACGTGGGTGACGCTCCCACCCGCAACAACAACCGACCCGCTCGGTTCCCCAGTTCCAGTGACTCTACTAGCGGATATTATTCCACTGGTTTGAAATATTGCAGACTATTTTTTTTATTTGGGAAACACACAGTATTTTATAATTTAAATAGATACATAACAGGTAAAATATTATACAAACCAGCAAAGTTTCCACTAATTTAAACATACATACATATAGAGTAGACAACAAGAAAATAAAACAGAAAAAAAATACATTTAAATATAAAAACATAAAAGTATAAAAAAGAACATTAAAGGCTAACTAACATTTTCTCTTACGAGTTTTTTTCATTTACTTATAGTCACTAGGTTTATATCAATATTTTTCATTATTATGAGTAAGTGCGTCTTATTTCTGCAATCCTTATAAAACCTTCCAGTTTTGTACTGTCGTCCTTCAAGGATGGAATAATTAGGAAAATTTAAAGTGATTTTGAATTCGGTGTATCTTTAAATCATATCTTATCATTATATCAAAATTTTATGAGTGCAAGAGTGCATTTGTTACTTCTTTTCTAATAATAACTAAACGGATTAGAATTAAGATTTAGAATGGTGCTTTTTAAACTATTTTCGAATTTTATTATTATCTACAATTTTGTTTAATTTATGTATTATTTTGCTCTGTCTACCTCATTGCTCTATAATGTGATACATAGTTAAGGAATAATCACCCTATTCTGTTGGACCTGAAATGTGTTTCCAAATATAACAAAAATTAATTTTTGTAAACCTTTAATTCTAGCGACGTCAATATCAGAAGACATGCCCAGCCTCTCCATATCAGTGCAATGCCGACAACCAGAGATTATGTTCTTTACTGATCTCATGAAGACTGAGGGCCACGCACTTTTACTAAGAACTGAACTACTCATTGACTATTCTTGCCATTCAAATACAGAAAACTTGGTTATATCCTTAGCCGGACTCCAGATAATGTCCAAATTGCAATCAAAATTAAAAAAATTGCCACCCCAATTGGTGTTGAAACCCTGTGATTTTGAATTCTCCAAGAGTTTTAAGAATGTGGAAGAAGGTATAATGGTGAAGTTATCAGTTTCGGAGATCGATCTTCATATAGCAGCTACTACAATTCACACAGTCACGGGTAAATAGCAAATATTTTTATATTTAATGGCCCCATTTTTCATCTTCCTTCTAAAGCTTTCCCTATTTCTAAAGTAGTTCATGCTTAGTAATATTGTTAATTATTGCAACAAGGATAAATAGCTATATTAATTTAGCTACCTACTTTTACAATAGAGTATGTTTTTCTTTTATACAGATATTGTAGAAGAAATAACAACAGAATTAACAATTCCTGAAGAAGGTATTGGATTCAACTTTGCCACTTACAATCCAAAACCGGAGAAGCAAGACGACGATCTCTGGTCTCCTAAGAAACTGACTCCATACGTGGGCTTCCATTCAGAAGACAGTTATATACAGCCAAAGTATCCTAGCATGAAACCCATGGAGACGTTTGTAATGACTGTGCCGTTAGTGCGAGTTACTTTCGAGATAGAGCACACTGTACGAATTCCGGTGTTGTTGGTAAAGGTAAGTTGTTGTTACTCTAACGTTATAAATTTGAAAGTTTATGAATGAGTGAATGAGTGAGTGCATCTTATTTCTACAAACCTTAAAATACTTTCAAATTTAGTGAATTTATACTTCTTTTGGCACGTATGGAAAAATATAAGAGTAACATTTTTTCGATGCGCGCATACACTGCCTGCCAAAAAGCGACATGATGAAGTTAGCTACATTCCTTTTACAAAGAGAGAGTTGTGACGTACGGGTGATTGTTCTGTTATGCCAAAGATGTATAACTTCTTACGTGCATACATAAGTACACACACACTTTTTTTGTGTGTTGTCTGTACTGTCGTCCTTTATGATAAAATACTTAGGAACATTTATTATTATGGATATGGATGGAATAATTAGGAACATTTAAAGTGATTTTCAATTCGATGTACCATTGAATTTGAAATGTAAATATTATTTTGCTCATAAACAGAATTATAAGAGCGAAGAAATAAATTTGAATAATTTCGTCAGATGTCAGCAGAACTTTCTATACACGACTGGTCACATCGTGTGCATGGGCACGGCGCTTTGAGTGCGCACGCGCACTGCTACAACGCGCGCCTTGATGCGTGGGAACCATTGTTAGAACCGGTGCTACGGGACAATGTGCAGAGGCCTTGGGAAATATTTGCTACAGTGTTTCAGGTTGGTTTCTTTAAATTAAATATATGAAGATCTAGGTGTTCACTTTCTTTTTTAATTTTACGCTCACTGATATAAAACTAGGTACGACATGTGGAAGTTGTTGTTAGAAGTCACGTTAAATTTTTTATTTTTTAATTAATCATTTATTTCAGGCAATATTTACAAAAAGTCTTAAATATGTAAATAGAGGCCCATAGCATAATATGTACCTTAAACTAACCTTAAAGCATAACTTGCAGAGATCGGGTGTGATGTTTTATAAGTTATTCCAGGACTGTTTTTTTTTCAATAAATTAGATAACGTTTTGCGTTTTTTATCTTTTTTAACATATTGTCTTTATAGTCAAGTTCAAGTAAAAAGCTTAGTTTAACTATAAAATTTTGATCTTTAACCATTGTTATTTTTTCTTACAGGCTAAAGCCTACCCAATGTCTTCACAACTAGATACCAAAAAGCAAGAAGAGATAGTAACAGACCAAGTACCACCAGAAACGACCAGAAAACAAAAGAAGAAAAATGAATTCGAATCTGAGACTTCAGCAGATGAAGCAGACACTGATAATGAAATGGTTTTCATAAGAAATCCTCACGGGAAAGAGAACAAGAGTTATAACGTTGATTTTAACGCTTGTAATATGACTTTTTTGAAAGCTTTAGATTTAGAAGAATCTGATTCAGAAAACGAGAACGGGACAATGGACAGGCTCACTGATGCGATTGGACATTTGTTTAATGAGTAAGTTTCATATTTTGGTACTAAAAAACAGTAATTTGACATCTTGATTATTGCCCTGGTTGTGGTTTATAGCTCTGCCTGCTAAATCTTTACCATTTTGAGAGTTAAAAATTGAGGTTACTTACTTGTAATGATACCAAATAAAATAAACTGTCAGTAGAGTCACTATTCTTCTTTTATTATATACATTTTTTTCTCATAGCAGTGATTCAAGCCTCGATGAACTAAGTAATGACGAAGATTCTTCTGCGCCGGAACAGAGTGAAGTCGAAATTAGTGATAGAGAGGAAGAAGAAGAGGAAGAAAAACCAGTTTCGTATATAGATGGAGATGAAAAGAAGAAAGTGGATAATAAGAGCGTTACTGTGCAAGTAAGGAAAAGATTATCTTTATAAGACTAATGACTGCAAGTATGTTAACCTCTTTTATTTTGCTTCCACGCTCACGAAAATCTACAAAAAATCCTTGTTTAAGGGATTAAAGTAGCTATCACTTTCTCAAATACTGTCTATCATTGAAAATTCTGTTAAAATTAGTAAAATTAGCTATTCTTCTTTTATACTTTGTTTCAAATATATATGGTTATCGGTTTGAGAATTTGGTCTTTGGGATTATACTTATATTGTACAATAAGGTTATGTTTAACAAAAGGTGCCTAATATTACAGACATAAAGGTTAATATAATTTGATTATATTCAGGAACCAGAGCGTGAAGACAGCGTCGAATCATCCATAGAAGATACTCGTTTCTGCACCTACATAGCGATTGAAGCGAAATTGCCACTGAACATCACTTTAGCTCCAGCGGCGGTGAAAGCGCTTCAAGCGCTAACAAACGCTATAAATGATAGAGCGGCAGCTGTTACGGCTATTGTTGCGGCTGAAAGTGGATTACAACTTATCAATGATATTGGTAGTTTTCCTTTTCATAATTGTTCTGTAGGCTTTTTTATATGACGTCACGTGACATCTTCACCTATGAACTGATTTTATTGATTATATTCTTTTTACTACAGTACATCAAAGAAAAAAATCAACTAATGTTTAATTGAATTGTAATTGTTATTTATATTTATTCTTTCTAAATATTAGTTAGAAATTAATTGTATCTTTTTGCAAATATTTTTCATTTTACATCAGCTCATATTTAAATCGATTAATTTCATTACATGTACTCAGGTCCAGGGTCTACAGTGCACCTGCGCACGCGCGCGGAGACCGACCTGGCCGGCAACGACCGTGTGCTCGCCGTCGCCGACTTCGATCACTCCAGCCGACCTAGCACTCCTGGTAACTGACCAAAATAATACATATATTCATTGAATATGTGTGTACATATGCATACACCGTCTTGTTTGGTATAGCTAGCATACGATACGACTTCAGATCTGAAAGTCATGGGTTCGATAACCGGTTCAGGCCAAGTGTAGTCATTGCGTTTTTGTGTTATGAAATTCTCTGTAGCAACTTAGAAGAATACCAGGATTATATATCGGGATATTCTTCTGCGCATATGGTTAGTCTCAATGAGATTAGCGGTGGTGATGGAAATCGGCTAGGAGGTCTTTATGTATAAACTTTTATTGGTTTAATTTTTCTCCCTGTGACAAACAACTAGGAGGCTGCTATTATAGAAGTATCCGATCACTTCACTTCCGGCTGGATTGCTGGAACCTAATGAGGCTATCACTGAATAGGTACATACATATATTCGGGGGTATAATTTGGAATAGCTACCTCGATTTTGGGCGATCCATTTCAAAGCCAATAATTAATCATGAAAAATATTTGTCTGTTTAGTTCTGCCCGTTATTCTATTACACTGCTGTGTGGATAATTTTCAGGAGAGAAGAATTTAGTTTACATTTTATCCATTGGGATAGAGTGAGGCAAGAGAAGTGTCGCTAGCTTCTTGTATTTAAGTAGATGTCCTGAGCCGCGAAATTTTTATACGATTGTTCAATACCTTTGCCCTTTAAGTATAAAACTCGTTATAAATGTTTAAATATTTTTTGCAGGTTGCGACACCTCTGGCGCAGATTTGCTCGATGATGTCGAGAAGGAAACTAAGCAAGAGATGACTGATATAAGTGACGAATGGGACTGGTGAGTGAATATAATAACATTCTAGATTCTCAGTAATAAATTACATCTGTAAAATGATTTAATTCTTATGCTATGTTGGATCCTGCAAATAAACAAAATGTTTTAGTCAATATTTACTGTTATTGGTTTTATTCAAATAACATTATGTAACTTTTCAGTTTGTTCCAGATTTTTATTCTTTTTTTTATTTATTGAATATTATTTGTCAACGTTTATTACATAATGCTGTCCGGGTAACTGGTGAAACTTAGTAATTTTTGCGCAAGATTCCCATACAGTTTTTCTTATTTGTTACTAATAAGTCATCCTATGCTCAGTTTCGAGGGAGGCTTCCCAGCAACATGCTCGCTATCGGGGGCGGAGCGCGAGTCCCCGGGCGCTCCGCCCCCCGCAGCAAAGCTGCTACGTCGCATCACCGACCAGACGCTGTCTATACGGATGCATGACTTTGATCATCTTAATGTGAGCATGGATTGTTTGAATATATAATTTATTTACAATAAAGAAAATTACAAATATACTTAATTATATATGTACAAATGTACACTTAGTTTAAATAGTTGAGTACTATTTTTTTGAATAGTTGAACAATATGATTTTGGGGCTTGGGTGTGATGAAAGTGTACAATCGTTGATGAATATCTATTTATTTAATAAAAATGAAATGCTGTGTTGAGAACGCCTGGACTAATATGACTGATTAAATATTCGTTGTAGTTTCAAGACGGTTTTTTGGAGAAAAAAAAATGGAGGAGTAGTTTAGATTATTGGAAAATTTGGTTATTCTTTAGAAAGAAAATTCTAATTATGTTTACAGTTTACTTTACGAAAATATCGACAATTTTACTTCCTATTTAAAAACGGAATACCTATACATTCTATACATAATCGAAGCTTAGAGTTTTAAGCATAATATGACTTTCCGTGAACTTTTCCGTTTCCATATTGCTGAATTTCAATCATAAAATAAAATCTTTGTTTTCCTTAGATCCTTTGTCCCCAACGATCGGTGTCCAAACTCCACGTGCTGCATCCGAGCAAAAACAACACTCGCTATTATGTCGTTGTTGAAAGAACTTCCAAATATAACAACAAGAAGATTGTTGTCAGATCACCTCTACAGGTAAGAATAAGCAAGCATAATTAATGGTTTTTAGTCGTAGTATAGTGCTTTTTAAATTCTTAGCAAAGAGCATGTAAATGAGTTTTCTTAGATTTAATCTAATATTTGACATTTTAAATAAAACTATTTCCTTTGAGTTTTTGTGAATGAAACTTTTGAGACGTTTAAGGCCTGGTTCTCCCGAGACAAAATAAACTGCCAAATATTGTTTTTTTTTTTAATTCCAAATTATATGAAAGTTATACTTCATAAAAATGACTTCGGCGATTGGCTAGCTTAAAAGTAATTAAACGTTCTTGCATAAACATATATTTGTATATAACTACATGTTATCGGTTCTGATTTATATCACGTATTTAGGTACGAAACGAAACATCCTACGCCCTAGAGCTGCTCTATCGTCAGTCAGAATTGGAAGCAATGGGAATCGAACCTGTAGGCGCTGTGCGGAACCCCTTCTGTGGACTATTGCGCCTGGCAGTACTCGCGCCACACGACACATACAACGTGCCTTTGTATGTGGCCTACCATTGCAGACTGTACTTGGTGCCAACCAATTATGAGTGAGTTTTTTTCTTATATCGATACTAATTAAATAGCTCTGCTTGTGTGATAGTGTGTTTTGTTTTTTTTAATTCACGCTTAAACAGCGGAACCAATATTCATTATTTTTGGTATAGACTTTTGAGAGACCTTGGCGAGAGTATAGGGTACCTTTTGTCGCGATAATAAACATCTAACGGTTGAAAATAGGGATGTAAGTTGGTATGGACAAACCATTATTTTATATTTATCAAGTTATAGATATGAAATTTTTTAGCGAATAGTCCTATATTTAATGTTAAAATTAAAATTATGACGTTAAAACTCATATACTTGGGACCTATTTCTAAATACGTTTTATGGGATTTTAAATATTTTAGGAATTACCAAGCCCCAACGCAAGGTATCTGGTGGATGGAGTTAGTCAACGAAGTGGGCAGCTCACGTGACATAGTGTGCCCCGCCATGGCGGATGACGGAGACGTTTTCGCTATGAAAGTGTTGCCAGTTGAAGGTGTGTTTATATTAAATTTAGGAATAACTTACTAAAGATTTCCACTTTTTTTGTAGATTTGTGATTTTTAGAAGATTTGTGTTTTTTAGTAGTTGTGCTTTTCCGGTAACAGAATATTAAAAAATTACAAGGATTTTATAATTTACATTTTATCTTTTAAAAATATATATCTTAAAAATTTATTCTCTTCTTATAGTATATGTTATATGGTAAATAAATAATCCCCAAAATTTCCTAGGTTGCCATTCCAACAAAGTATCACGGTCGATACCAAATCTCCTCCTGCGTATCTTACCTCCACTCGGCGTTCACAACAGACTGCCCCAAGCCTTGCAATTATCAGGAGGTCCCATACAAGCGCGTGTCGAAGCGGGAGAGAGAGCACACGTGTATACACTCAAGCCTACTCAATCTCATAAACTGAGTTTGGAAATACATTATCTTGGGTTGCCGTGGTCCGGCACTTTTACTTTGTCGCCAGGTGAGGGTTTATTAAAGTTAAATTAGTTAAACGAAGACTTTGAATATGATTCGGAGACGATGCACTAAAGAAGTTGAAATAACAATAGATATTATCAGGTGACAAAATTTTGTAAAAGTTATGAAAATAAAAATTAGCTGATCTTATTAGATGATAGATACTCAAAATTAAATCTATTTAAAACTTAGGTAATATTATGTACTAGTTTTTCAATAATTTTTGGATAATAGGTTTTATATGATCGTAGCTTTTATAAATCACTACACCTTACACATTAAAGTCCTCCATCGCGCTGGGTTTTTGTTTGTTCCGTGTTTGAGATAATATCAGAAACTACTGTATTGTCATACAATTTTCAGCAATAGAAAGAAGGATTATCTAGTAAAAGGTGTAGGATATAATTTAAATATTACGCGCAACGGAGCTACCGGTATTTTATAATATTAAATGATCAATTTTGTATATATGTATGTACTATGTATATTTTATTTCGTGTATCTCGGAGTTTGGCCTGATGATTTGAATCAAATTTTGTTTTTAGATAAGGCTTTTACTTTTTAAGTTTATCTATATAGGTTTCTCTTGTTAAAAAAATGCAATTTTCACAAAAAGCGATTGAGGTATAGATTTGATGTAGTTGAAATTAAAAATTTAAATATTTTATCATTGAAGCAACGTAGAGAATACAGAGACCAAATTTTTCTTTATAAAATCTTACATAATTTAATTGATTCCGATTATCTTCTAAGCAATATTAATTTCAAATGCCCAACTTTTTGCACCCGTTCTAAAGATACTTTTTGTGTCCCTATGTGTAGAACAAATTATGCCAAGAACTGTTTTGTAATTAGAGCTTGTAGATCGCATAATACATATTATAACCAAATTGACATATTTGATAGTAATATCAACAAATTTTCTCAAAGCATTAAGCATAAACTCGATCATCCTTGATATAATATGTATTTTGCAACCCTCTCTATACACAAAGATTATGTTTAGTTTATTTTACGTATAGTTTGTAATTTTTTTTTTCACTCCATGTTTACTTATAAGTGGAAACTTTATTGGCTGATGAGAAGAATAGATTTTATTTACATATTTCTGTATTATAAAAGCTGTTTGTTTCCCAACTGATAATAAATAAATAAATAAATAAATAAATAAATAAATAAATAAATAAATAAATAAATAAATAAATAAATAAATAAATAAATAAATAAATAAATAAATAAATAAATAAAAAAACAAAACACAAAAAACTGCCAAGCGAAGCTCGGTCGCGCAGGTACCGATGTTTAATATTATAAATATCACTGTACTACGGACGCTAGTAATTAATATTTATAAAATTTTATATAAATTTTCCAGATATGACAGAAAAGACCATCAGCATGTCAACAGAGTGCGAGACGGAGGGTGGCAACAAGCGGCTGACAGTGCGCGCGCGACTGCAGCGAGGGCCCAACTTGAAGTTGCTGTTGTACGCGCCCTGTTGGATCATTAACAAGACAGGGCTGCCGCTGCAAATACGAGTACGGTCCAGACAAATTTAGAATCTCTAGAATATTTGTCTATTATTATATTTTTTATTACAGACTACTATTTCACATATATCGGTGATTTGGTAAAGTGAGATATTTAGTATAGTAAGTTAATTAAAAACTAACATTATGGCCTAAGACCCAATAGCCAACCTACGTTAGAGGTAAGAAACATAGTAGCTAGAAGCTATGCTTAGGTACTTTCTACTTTGACGGGACGCTTACGGCTCTTGTCGACAAAACTTGAAAGAAAATAAATTTTTAAGTATTTAGAACTTAGAATTGGAACAATCCGCGAGAATCTGATCATGTGAATTCAAAAATTAAAATTAATATTCTTCATACTTTAGTTTGCATTATATACTTACTCAATATTTTGACAACTCTTAATTTATCCACCAAAAGTGCGCACAATGCACATTAAAACAATCATCCCCCGAACAGGGCAGATCAGACACTTGCTACGAAGTGACAGACGAGCCGCTACTCTTCTGCGAACGTAACACTTCCAGTGAGAGGATAAGGGTGCGCGCACACCAGTCGGGCTGGTCGCGCGCCGCCCGCCTGTACGCGCACACGCCGGGGCTGCTCGTGTGTGCGCATACTGAGAGAAGGCTGAATTATAGAATGCTTTTGCATGTGAGTACTTATTAAAAAAAAAAGAATTTATACTTAGTGGTAATCTGACATTTTACGATGATTATTTTTTTTATTTTGAGGTTTATGTACGCTTTGGTAGGAATGAAATGGAACTATTTTAAGGGTTAGTTTTTTTTAATTGTACCTTAAAATTTGGTTTTTATGATTTGATTTTTTTAAGGTTCTGTGTATCGAATGAAAATATAAAACCATGTTTAAGGATAGTGTCTCTCTTGTTGCTTTATATTTGTTTGAATGGAAAACTAAAACAATCGTTACAAAATAATCAGACACTGAAAGATATATGTAAATCTTGTTTAAAGTGGTTAACGGTGTATAAATAAGATATTGTTTTTGTATTTATACCGACTTAACTATTTTATTTACTACTTTCTAATTTTAATCCTCTACTTCTATACCTCTTTCTATTTTATATACTTATCTCTTGTATGGATTTTTAGTTAAGGTATTTGGTTTATAAAGGCAAAATAAATGCAAAAATAATCTTTATCCCAACAGGTAACACTCTCAGAGCTTTGTCCACAACTAACAAAAATAGTGACGCTCCTACCGTACTTTATAGTGTATAATGACACGAAAAAACATCTTCGATTCATGGAAGAGAACGAAGCAGCAGATCTATGGATAGATTTAGCGCCACAACAGTGCACGCCGTTCTGGCCTCAGACAGACTCTATGGCAATGCATTGCAAATATAGAGACTCCACCCTCGTATCGCAGCATTTCTCTATCACGAAGAACCATTTCACTGTGCTAAGAATGGATAAAGGGGTATGTTGTTTATAAATTTAATTTACTAAAAAACTAGTCTTCTGCGCAGAAGATACTAATATGTTTAGTCAGAAAAATTCAATAACTAGTTATACTCGGCTCGACTCGGGCCTTGAACCTAGGACATCTCGGCTTTTTAACAGTACTTGCTAGCCCGACATGAAGTGTCACTATACTAGTGACGCGTTCCTTCTGGCTTTTTACATTGAAATCCCTCTGGGAACCTAAAGTGGTATATCAAGTGATAGTACCTACCTACCTTATGGCACTATCTGGCTCTTAAAATAATTTTATAGATCTTTCATGTCATCATCTAAATTCTCTTGCTCGCTCTCTAAAGTGAAAGAAAGCAACGAAATCATTTATTTTTTATATTAACATTTATTCAATCTTACATCTACAAAACTATTTACATTTCTATCTGTACTTAATAGGTACTCTAATTTATAGCTGATACATAGTAACTCAAAAAATAAATAATTTTTTTACACAAATTAACCTACGTAAATCTATACTTAGGTGGTGTTGGTTTTTCTAGAGTTAAAGTACCATCGTCATGTAGCGTGTAGGCGGTTCCTTTTGATTTATGCGTCCAAATCTTAGTAGCTTTGAGATGAGCATCACTAAGATCTTTTACGGCGGATGCTGGGGGCGCTGGTTCCACTACCGGGTTCACATTATTTGGTGATGGAAATGATTGTGATGCTCTCGTCGGTAATTTACCTGAAGTTACCTGAAAATAAATAAAATTATAATTACAGTTAGTTCTTTTTGCTAATAGAATAAATATTATGTAACTGAATTTTGATGCCTGGTTAAGGTTTTTTCAAAGGGATTTTTTGGGAAAGAAGTCACAAATTAGCACTTTGTGTTTTAATGAAGATGCATGGTTCCTCTACTTTTTTAATAGCGAATAAAATGCCTATCTACAAGGTTTGGAAGCATTATAACTATAGCTAAGCTAAGTATAGATTTTTCTACATAGATTTTTTATGCAGACTTATCTACACTGCTTTCTATACAGTAATACTTACTGAATAATGCGGTACGTTGTAAGAATCGACTGAATACAATTTTGAGTCTTCATACTCCATCAATGGTAGACTGGCAAAGCTTTCTAACTTGTATGAGACTTCAGGCCTAGCTATAGAATGTACGTTATTGGTAGAAGATATTTGATAATCGTTATCTCTTAGATTTGTAGGTTTTGGTAGAATTTCTTCTTGCATGGTACTACTATCTGTGAAAATGGCATTGTTATTGGGAGTCATATCTAGAATTTCTTTATGAATGTTAGCGTTCAAGAAAGACAGCTGTTCTTCTTGTCTTGCCTCTTCTTTCATCGGTATTTGAGAATAGATTTGTGGGTTTAAAACAGGTCCAATCGACTGAGTATTGAAAAATATATTTGGATCATGGTCTGAGGTATATTGAATTTCACTAGGACTGGGATTCGAAAGGTTAATAATTTTAGCACTGCCGTAATCTTGATTTTCTGATGGAGAATACTTGTAACTAATACCGTTTGGGTCACGATATTTCTCATGCCTTTCTTTTTCGTTGGCTAAGTCGATGACCTTTTTCAAATCTTTCTTTGATAGATATTTAAACAAATTATTTATATCTTCATCTGCCAAACCTTCATCGACTGGTCGTTTACTAACCTTATAAGGCCTTAGATTCGGCGGATGTGGTCCAATGTCGCTTGCAGTATATCCGGGGGGCGGGGTGTGGGAAAATGGGCCTCTAATAGGTGGACTGAAAGGCGGTCGATTATAAAACATCAAAGGTGGACTTTGATAGAATTTTGCCCGTTTAATTCGCGTGTACCCATTTCTACATTCATCACATCCACTATTCTTATTGAAACACGATATCTCTAACACTACATAAAATAATATAAATAATCCAAAGTTTAAACGCATTTTTTAGTTCCACACGGATTCGCGTCGTTTCAAAACTGAGATCATGAAAATTTTCTCTTAAAACTTATACTCCTATGTTAAGAGGTGACCGAATGAAAGTGGCGTGAATTAAGTTAGAGCCTATAACACAAATACGATGTAACGTCTTGTGCAATATACTTTCATATATGTAATAGCGGTAAACGGTTACTTATATACATAATATATAAACAAAATGTTGTTCGGTAGTAAGAGCATCATATGAAAACGCGGGACCGATTTAACTTTTTTTTAATGTTTGTAATAGTCCCAACAAGGTTTTAAGGAAAAAATTGGAAAAATGCGTGGAAAAGTTGAGATACTGCGAAGCTTTGAGTGCTGTTTAATAAGATTTTAGGATGACTTTGAGCACATGAGTTATCATAAACAAATTTTTACAATTGCATTTCAATCGTCATTAGATTTTTTTTTATTAATTATTATGTCACTTTATATTTGTAACAACAACGACAACGTAACAACCATAACAAAAATTTCTATTTTAGTGCATATTATTTGTAAAATAGTACATTTTTTTATATTCATTTTTTGTAAGCTCAATTAATTAACACTTTTCTGTGTCAGTGTATTTACTGTTTAGATATTATGTATATTAAACACTATCGACTTTACCCCGACTTAAGATAGAACAAGATAGTGATGCTGCATCGTAGATATTTGAAAATATAATTTTCCTAGTTATTAATTGACAGAATGGGTATTATTTAAAAAATATACATTCTTATGCTATAAAAATTCTTTAAAATAGGTTCTGTCAAAGGGCATTTAAAAAGAAGTGCATTAATTCTTATTAGCGGCTCACCATCGCTTCGCTCGGGTTCACAAAACAAACAAGAACAAACCTATCCCACGGGAACCGTTCATTTTTCCGGGATAAAAAGTAGCCTATGTGTTATTCCAGATTATAATGTATTTCTGTGCCAAATTTCATCCAGATCCGTTCAGCCAAAAAGTAACAAATATCCATACTCATAAACTTTCACATTTTAAATATTTATACAGAATTTATAGTCAATATTAAATTTTCATCTCGTTTTCTTTACTTCAATCTGATGTAACAAGCATCTCTATATACGAGTATGTAATTAAATAACTATTGAGTAAAATATAAATGGAGTGATGAGTATAGACTCATTTACCTTTAAAAAAACACTTAGTTCTTTTTAAATTTTTTTTAATATTTAAATAAATTCAAGGGGTGATAAACATTCTTATTACTTTTAGTCGGCAATTTGTGTGGACGTGACCGGCGGTACAGACAAACCATTCACAATAACATTTAAGCCCTACAGCGCGGGAGACGCGCCTGTGCGTATTGATAACTTGTGTGATGATCTCTTCTTGAAGTTACATCAGGTAAAAAAAAATTTAACTCTTTAGATACGTAAACATTACCCTTGTAAGCATTACTCAAGAGGTTTTCTTTCTAGACGGATTCCGGTCAAGTAGCTTTGCTCAGTCCATTTCAGTCAATGCTGTACACGTGGGATGATCCGGTCAAAGAAAGAGGTCTGCTATGGAATATTTACAACAATAAAGGCAAAGGCTTTCTTGCAGATTTCTCTCAGGATGGGTAAGATCCTTTTTAATTTTTTATGATGTAAAGTATTAGGTAAATGTTCTATTTTAATATTTCTTATTTTAGTTTTGGGGAAGAAAAAGTTAGCTTTCATTCAGTGAAGCACTCTACCCTCGTCGCTACGAATAGCGTCACATCTAAATTATCCTCAACTCTCAAACGGCTTACGCCAAAATCACCAGAACCATGCACTTCTAGCAGTGATGATTCTGACAGCACAGATTTACCAGAAGTTCACACTAAAAGCAAAAAGATGAGAAAAGACAAAGTCATAGTATACTGGGTATCTTTCATGGATGGCTATCAGAGAGTATTTGCTTTAGCCCAGGATGAGAGAATAGCCTACCAATATAAAATGAGGATAAACTCTGAACGGAGTAATTATGAAATATACGCGTCCCTTGCAAGTGTTGGTTTATCTGTCTGTGTGCAAACAAGCAATGGAGTTAAGGAGTTATCATATATTAGTGTAACAGATTCGACTCCCAGGTGGGAAGTTAACGTTGGTAATAAATGGAAACAGCTAGCTACTGATGTAACAGCTTGGATTGAAGAAAAATATCAAACTGATCAGAAAAAGTGCCAACTAAAGGAATACTTGCATATAGATTTGGAAAAAATGCAAATGACTAAACCATTCTTTTCTGAGCTCCGAAGGTCATATAGTCCAGGAGTTTGGTTACAGTTCCGAAGATCGGATACCTTTACATACTGCCATTTGAAATTACAAAGACTGCAAATAGATAATCAGTTGCACGAAGCCGTTTTCCCTAGTGTTTTATATCCAGCGCCTTTACCTAGCCACCTTAAGTCTAGAGATTTGAAGCCCTGCATAGAACTAGTCATGTTAAAGCAATATAGACCAAACTTAAACCAGGATATTTACAAATATTTAAAGGTTCTTATACAAGAGTACTGTGTAAACTTAGATAGAGGTTTCGTAAATCATGTCTTCGATATATTAAACCACTGGAAAATTGAAGAGAAACCGGCAGTTAGGTTGCGAGCCGACTTAGCGTTGGTTCACATGCCTTTGCCAGTAATTGCTATGCGAAGTCAAACTACAGCCCAAAAAGATGTGGTTTTCGAATTCGTTCACTTGTCTCCAATAAAGTTGGTTCTAAGTTTGTCTTCGCGAGGTTATTCAAATGAAAATATTGACAGTCCAACAAGAACAAGATATGGCCATCAAAGGGAAAATAGGCCGAAATTATTCAATAGTGATTTATTGGAGCATTTGTTCAACTCATGGGGGTCGTCGCTTTGTGATATGAAGGACGTTGTTATCAGGTAAACGTTGAAATAAATATTTTTTACATAAGTTTACATAATAACATTAAATATTTTACATTATTCTATTTTATTTACACATGATGTTTTTTTTTTAAATAACCATAAATATTATTATTACAATTAAAACATATTTGTTATGTTGATAAGGCAATCGCTCGTTTTCTCACTTCAAAATATATTTAGTCACTTGTATATTAAATAAAAATATTCGTTTACTGCACATACCTATAAATAATATGAACAATTTCTAAATATGTGTTTTGCAGAATGAGTTACCTAGAACTTCATAACGCGCCAATAACAATGACCTCACTACTGGACACAGCGTGCCGTCACTACCGACTACAGCTTGTCCAACAGTTCTACGTTCTGGTGCTCGGCCTGAACATCCTGGGGAATCCCTACAGCTACATAGGCGACTTCTCCAAGGGTTTGAAGGATTTTTATGAGCCGCTTGCGGTAAGTGATATTTTAAAAGTAACTCAAATCCTAAATCTTTTAAAGTTAATATTTATTACCTACACAAATTGTGTATTATGAAAGATATCTATCTATATTCTTCACTAAATATCTTTATAACTTCCTCAAAGTATCTTTTTTACTGAAAGATAAGTTATGTTGTAGAAATACGCAAATTGAGCAAATTTTCAGGGTTCAGCGTGTTCACGGAGAATATCAGATGCAGCTCTGACGCTTCTCAACGGAGCCGCCAAGCTGCTAGGCTGTGCGAGTGATTCCAATATACCAAATATTTTTGAAGACGTGCCTAAAGTTAGACCTAAACGACTTACAGGTTAGTTGATCGTTATGAAAAATCATACATATGTACTCCACTATGAAACTGCATACATCGTAGTATTAGCAAAGTGGCTAAAAAGTAAGCAAAGTTCTTTTAGGCCAGTATGAGATAGAACGTGAAATTTATTTACTCTTAAACCACTTATTTACCTTAAGGTGATGAAGCTGTCATAATGGATGATCTGCCAGAAGAGGTCATAGAAGCAAATAGAAATAACCCTGCAAGTGTCGCCTTAGCCGTTACCGGACTTATTGCGAGACCTACATTTGGTAAACCTTTTGGCCTTTATCCTAAACTTTTAGGGCTCGCTGCACATGTACCGTTTTCTGATTTGGTTTCCTTTTTTTATTTTGTATTTTGCGCACCTGACCTACTAATTTCATATAAATTCTGGATGGCGCATACGTTTTTATTAATCTGTTCGGAAACAATGTCTAATACCCATTTTGGAAGAAAATCCACATATTATTCACACTAGGAAATAAAATCAGAAAAAACGTACATGTACGGCCAACCTAATTTGTGTCTAGTATTGGGTAGAATATCTACATATATTGTTGTCTCTCTCACTTCTGAGTGACAGGAGGATAGACTTATTTATGTTTTTAAAAACTGAATGTTAAATGTTCTGGATGTGTTTTTTTAGAGCCCAATTATTTTAAAAAATTACTTGTAAATAAAAAAATTATAAATAAAAATGATTGTTTCATCGCTTCATAATTTCTAGTGCACATTCATTATCTCAATGTTATTTAAAATTATCAAAAATTAAACATATTGTCTCTTATTATAACTATATTTTTTATTTTCTATCAACAATATAAGTCACAAAACACGCTTATTTTAATTTTTCTTACTCGAAGCTTAGCGATCGATATTTGTATATGTATATTTGAACATTGACATTTCTGTCTGATTTGGAACTGAGAATATGTTGGGAATCGAAGGGGTCTTTGTGACTATTAAGGGAGTATTTTAGGGTTTTCTTATGTCTATTAAAGGCGGAAAGGAAAGCGTGATAATTTATGAATAAACATTTCGTTCTAGAAGATAACATACAGGAGCTTTCAATGTTAATAAAATTGTAATTTATACAAAGAAAGATAAAACCTGCTAAGTGTCCTAACACCAATTTTTCTCAGGACTGAGGTGTTTAGTCGAGTTTTAAGTTTCAGTAAAAGAACTAAAAAAATATCTACTACATATAGAAAAAATATGTAACTTTATACTAAATCATTATTTATCTAATAATACTTTATTTAAAATGTCATTATTTATCATTAAACTAATAAATTGCATGTACGTTATCAATGTCAAGATAAATAAATTTTATTATGTGTCATATTTGTTTTGTTTCTCACAATTCACATTATCTTTCATTTTTTTAATCTGTCTGTTGGTGCGTTGGTTGGGGATGCGTAGACGAAGATTTTTCTATTGTGAGACGTGAGTATTTCAAGCATGTATTTGTGTTTATTTTTATAAAGTAGTACCGCCGATGTAGTTAGTGGTCATGTTATAGAGGCATGTTTTTGTTAATTATTATTTCTTACTTTTATTTCTTCTCGCACAAATTTTATTAATTTTAATACTAACATGTAAATAATAGTAAAAATTAAAGTAATCAACATGATAGCAACAGTAATAATTTTCATGGAATTCACATTCTGTTCATTCCTAAAGGATAGTGTATTATCGAACTGACACACCGCAATTCTTCGACCATTGTAATGGAGTACTTGGGTTCAATTTCCGTTTAGAAGAATATTCTCATTGACAATCAACATGAAGCTAGTGTAGGGAAGATAAAGCATATAATACTATATAAGAGTATAAAAGAACTCACTATTTAGTCACTAGTTTCTTGCTTCAAAACCTGCAATAGAAAAAGGTAAAAAAGATACTCATTGAAAATTATCTCTTATAGATTTATAGTACTGATTCGATTTAAAAAAAAAATATTAGTAGGAAGCTACATTGCTGTCGAGTCTTAGAGGTCGTGGGTTCGAGTCCCGGATCGGGTTAAGTTCTGTCAAGCCCGGAAAGCACGTTTTTAAGTATTGTGTCGAGTAGTCCCACCGTAGTATGAGAGTGACAGAAATAGAGTGCACTTGTGTTTGCGCGTACACTTCTCTCTCCTGCCATCTCCTGCGCAGTTGGCCCAATGAGATTTAAGCCGGCATGGCCGAAATCGCTCAGAAGGACCCTATTTATTTTTTACAAGCTTTTATCATTTTGATTGTTTCTATTATATACTAATAGATGTATGCCGAGAGGCTGCGCGGGCGGCGCTCTCAAGGCAAGTGGGGGCGGATAGTGCTGAGACGGCACTGAGAGCATGCGTGCAGCGGTCGAGTGGCCGGCTTGTGGCTAGACGCCGCTTACCACGACATTGTTCTAGTGTAGAGGTGGGCAGAACTTATGATTCTTCTTACTAATATTACAAATATTATAAATAATGTGTTTGTAAGTGATAGTTTTTAAAGTAGTAATGATGATCCAATCACTGTTGTAGTTTGCATATCATTGTGTGGTAGGTAATGGGGTCGGAGAGACATCGATCGAAACGCAACATCCCGCCCCGGGTATCATCCGTTTATCGGTTATAGGTACTCTGCGATATGCAGACTAAAAAAAAAGAAATAACAATTTCGTTGTTTTATTCAATTTCAATTTTTACAATTTCGAGACACTTTTTTTAGTCTTGTTAATTTTTTCAACATCATTTAACATTTTGTTTGAGTTAACATTCCCAATTCATTAAAGTTCATCAAAAGCGTGTTTTTAGCTGTTTACTTATTATATAGTTTAATGTTTCGTCCAGGGTCTACGCGTGTACAGCAGTTTCGCGGCGCGGGGCGCAGCGCTGCTGTCGCAGCTGGCGCGCGGGCACTACGCCGACACGGACAGCTACGTTGCGCACGCGCACCTCACTAGGACGTCACTCGCCACTCTACTTGTTTCAACACAGTATGTTTGTTTGTCAGTTTCTTCTATTTACATTCGACACAGTATGTTGCTTGTGAGTTTTTTATAAATTGCGCTCTACATATTTAATTAATGTTAAAGGTTGAGCGAAATGTTGTACCAAATATTATGATTTTTCCAGTCTTTAAATTTAAAAAAAGTTTAATGAACTTCAGTGCTTCATGAAAGACAGGCTTAATATCATGAAAAAGAATTTATATCAATTAGTTTATTTTTCCATTCATCTTTTTATATTTCTAACCGTATTTCAAATGATGTTTAATTTAGTTAAAGACTATTCTCATATCATACATACAAAAATTCTCTAGCAAATATCTGTAGCACCAAAACAGAATATATCTCAGAATCAAACTTTCAATCCTTGCAAGAATGTCCCAGAAGCAATAAAGAAGTACTCGTAGGTAATATTTATGATAATAAATCCGTTATTATAACAATTTCCAGACACATATTCCTGGTCCGCGCGGGCGGAGGCAAGGGCTGGCACGTGGAGTGGGCGGTGCGGCTCGACGACCTGCTCGGCGTGCCGGCGGCGGCCGACGGCAAGCTCGTGCTCAATATTAAACAGGTATGTAAGTCACAGTTAACTAGAGTAAATGTTCTTTAAAAGAAAGAAACAGAATTAAAATGACCTTGATTAGCCTGTGGATATTAATCAAATGATTATAATTAAATCTTTTCCTATAGCTACACGACATTCATTCCTAAGCACAGTTTTACAAAATATAAACTTTCAGAGTTTTTTTAAGAGATTTTTTGTTACATCTATTGTAATTCTAATATTTCTAATCGCAATTCAAGCATTTACTAATATCGAAATGAAACCTTTCTATATTTTACTAAACCTAATAAAACATACACACCTATATTTGACGCCACGTTTGGCTCAGTTTGTAGTACTTGCTGTGCCAGCGGTCGCAGGTTCGAGACCCGCTGGGGGCATTCATTTGTGTGATGAACACGAATGTTTGTACTCCAGTTATGGGTGTTTATATTTATATATGTATGGATTTAAAGTTATTTATGTGTAGTGTATCTTTAACACTAGCCTCGTAGCTTAACATGGAACTAGATGGTGTTATGTGTTAATGTACCAACATATTTATTTATTTATTATTAATAATAATTTCTAGGACGAAGTCGTAAACTACTTCTCGACGGACGAGAAAATAATAGAAATACCACAGCCAGAAGTACTGAATTGGCTTCAGAGCAAAATCGAGTGCGCTCTCATACACGCGCTGGAAGATAAACGATGTACCGATTAAACGATTTTTTTGGATTGGAATTTGGGATTTTGATTTTATTGACATTATTTTTTATCTGTTATTTATATTTTTAATCTGTTTACACATTAATAATTTTCATATCTGACATATTATTAGTTATCTGTACCTACTGATGGAATATATATATGGCCAAAAATGTAATTGAAATTGCTTTTCTTTGAGTTTTTATTTAAGCGGTAAAATCTCAATCACTACTTTTATTCTAATAGTTATTTAAGTCAGTATTACAGGCGTTACGGAAAGCACAAGGAAGTACCTACATTTATATTGGTATTTATGTATTGTTTAGTTTAGCTATAAGTATTGATACGCTAAGTGTGTTAGAATCTCGCACATTAGATACTTTTTGTATTGAATGTACAAAAATAACTGTCTTAATATTATTATTACTTATATATAAACGCGGTTTTTATTTTCTAATTTATAAAAAAAAAATATGTTTTGTGCTTTTGGGAGTTTAGCTGAAGACTTAAATTCTATATACAAATTGAAAAAAAAACTTATTTGTAAAGTACCTGTTCTTTTTATTGCTATAAGTTATATTTCAAGACTAAAAGCTAGTCTTGAATTTTATGGAAAGTTCATCGTTTAATCATATAAATACATTTTAATTCACATCTTAATGAGACTAAAAGTATCTAGTGTGCGCACGGCCTTATGAATGCTTTCGCATGTGTGCAAATTGAAAAAATGGGATCTCAAAAAACTACTACATAATAATATAGAGGCTTTATTAGCTATTTTATGTTTTTTGTTGTTTTTATTTTAAGGTTTGGTCTTATGGAGATGGACGAGATTATTATTGTTTTTAATATTCATTTAGCCTCTCAGTCAGCTCAGTTTCTAGTGACCCTACTTCCTGTGCCAGCGGTCGCGGGTTCGAGTCCCGCTGGGAGCATACATTTGTGTGATGAGCACGAATGTTTGTTCTCTAGTCATGAGTGTTTATATATTTTATAATACGTATGTTTTTAAAGTTATATATGTGTAGTGTATCAACTATCTACTATCCATAACACAAGCCTCGTAGCTTACCATGGAACTAGATGGTGATGTGTGTTAATGTCCCAACATATTTATTTATATATAAATTGTAAAAGAAATGTTGATAAATATGGCTGGTTGTAAAACTAATGAAGGAAGACTCGAATCCCATAAAAATATATAGATCCCATAATCAACTAGTCACATTATTGCGTCACGAGTGAATCATTTGTTGTTTGTTTAGACTTTAAGGTTCATTTGCACATGTAATGGATATTTTAGGTTGTAGATTATAGGGTCATGATAAGTTACTTTTATCTAAGAATTCAAAGCTGAAACGAAAATTAAATTTAGTTTGGGTTTAAGTTGTTTTTAGTCATTTTTTGATATCTATGAGTTTTTGTAGAAGTGTATTTCGAGGGACGACTGCTTCGTCTTCAATTATGTATATTGTATAACTATAATATCTATATATAAATTAACCTATAGTTAAAATAAGTAGGTATATAATGGCGACTTACCTTTTCTGATCAACTTCAAAAAAAGTGAGCTACAAAATTTTGTTCTTTATTTTGTTACGCGATATTCCACCAATCGAGAACCATCTTCATGATGATTTTTTTAATAGATAGGGGATTTACCTCAAGGCGGTACTTTCATTATTTTATGTGTAAAATATTTATATGATAATCATTTTTACATGTTTTGCATTAATACTACATTACTTAATAGTAATTTCATTATTGTTTACAAAGTAAACTTTTATTTAGCAAAATAAATAGAACTTGTCAATTTGACATTTTACTTAAGTAAATTACCTTTCTATTTTTAAAAATTCGCAACGAAGTCTTTTAAATATATGTATTTTTCATGAATATACACAGATAAAATATAATCTGTGACAGTTGCCTCTCGAAAAAATATAAACAATTATGTTTTAATTTAAAATTCGTATAAAATTATGGATACTACGAAGAAATTAAATAATAGAGCAACTGTTCACATCGACTCGTATTGCCGACTGCGTCACGACTGATTGTTGAAAATATTTTCATAACAGATTTATAATTAAATCTTTACTAATAGATCTAATATAAATGTTAAATGCGTGCTATGAGAAAATTATATGAGAAGATGATAAAAATGATTTTTTTTCGTATTATTATACAGAATTAATGTTAATAATTGTACTAATTTAAACATTTGATAACATGTACAAATTATCGTCTATCATAATAATAAATATGAAATCTTATTTATTATGATGAGGACAATTTATACATTTTCAAAAAAATTTCATCCCAGACAAGGTCGGTGGAATTGTTCTCCTTTAAAGAAAAAATATTAAATAAAGATGGCGCTACAGCTAAATGTTAGTTACAGTTTTAAATAAAACTATCTTTTCGGGTTTTGTCGCGGATTTATCTTGATTTTTGGTTCCCGACGTTTCGAATGCTTTACAGCAATCATGATCACGGGACCGACTAAGGTTTTAAATGTCTCATAGGTATTATATAGTTATTACAGAGAGCCTATCCACTGTGGATATAATAATAAATTCACGTAAAATCCGAAAAGATAGTTTTATTTAAAATGTCAAATATTCGCGTAAATCTAAGAAGAAAAAGAAGTAGAAAAATCATAATAAATAAATAAAATATTATATATGTTTTTCTGCGACATTGTATTTTACAGTTTTATAGAAATTCATTTAATAGTGTTCCTATCATAAGACCCCAAACTCCAAAAAACATTAGCGCCATTTTGGTAATTGAATAAAATGATATTTAACTTGTTTTGGTTAAAACCATATCAATTTCACGCTCCTTGCCCTTTACTTTGTGACCATTAATTTTTTTAACTCAATATAAACAAAAACCTTGTTGTTATAGAGATATAGTCGTTCCCATAGAACAAAATGGTAAAACGTATTATGACAGGTTTAATATTTTCAATATATAACTAGATAACAATATAACTGATTTCTTTTACTTTTTTCTTTGAAAACTATATACAATACCTTCTAAGTAAAATATTTTATTTAGTCAGATTGTAAAAATCACTCTAGCCTATTACGATTTTATTCTCTGGAGGCGTTGATTTCGTATGTATATTATATAATGGAAAATACTAATATTATGTATTTGAAAACTTATTCTATTAATGTAAATTATTATTTTTATGAAATATTATTTTCATGAAATATTTGTACTATAACTATTTATTAAACAATAGTTCCATTTACGATTTATGGCCTAATTTAGTTAAATACAATAAGTAATTACATTGGAATTGAATATTCTCTTATTTCTTAGTAAAATATATAACTGAAGAAGCTATTTTATTTTTGTATGTGTGAAATATGTTAAGTCATATTTCAAGTGAAATATCTATTCGTAAATGTTATTAATATAAAGTATTAGAGATGGGCCCTTGAAAGTGATCTATGACTATTATTTTATCGAATAATTTTTGATTTAATTTTATAAATTAACCTATAGTTAAAATAAGTAGGTATATAATGGCGACTTACCTTTTCTGATCAACTTCAAAAAAAGTGAGCTACAAAATTTTGTTCTTTATTTTGTTACGCGATATTCCACCAATCGAGAACCATCTTCATGATGATTTTTTTAATAGATAGGGGATTTACCTCAAGGCGGTACTTTCATTATTTTATGTGTAAAATATTTATAAACGTATAGACCAAATTATCCACAAAATGGTTAAATTAGAACTGTCGCTGTTAATTAAGATGTACTGTTAACTACTTACTGTCTTTAGTCTTCTAAACAGCCTAGTGGCTGTTTTCCTAGTGGAAAATTTCACCACTAATAAATGTCATCGAAACATTCTAAACAGGGAAAAACTAAATGTAGGTAATTTATTAAAAAAAAATGTTGCCGAAAGTATCTTAAATTATTACACAATTATTAAAAAATAATCGATTATTAGGATCGATTAATATTGATGTATAAGGGCCCATCTCTTACGTAGTTTATAGTGTTGAAAAATATGTGTTTAAAAATATTTTTATTGTTAATTTTCTGTATCAGCTGTTCGTAGTCTGGATATCTGTTAGCTATGGATGTTAGTTTAAGTGTAACGCTTTTATGAACATGTTAATCGATGACTATGTACTTACATTTTTCAAACAGGGCAATTATATAAATTATAATGTTCCAATTCTGTAATATTTGTTTTATTCTATATTGATATCGAATGCGATTCCCAGTAACTAGTAAGCTTCGAATGATTTTACCACCGCGTTAATAGAGTATTGAGACCATTTTCGCCGATCTCTGTTAGATTATAATATGTTGAGATTAAAACAGTGTGTCAAGGTTAGTAAATGTCGTTCAATGTGTTATCAGATCATAAATTATCATTCAGCTCATTCAGTTTTTAACTTAATATTTTTATCGTGATAATTTTAGCATGTGAGTAAAAGTTTTAATTTTTTTATTGATCAGTTACAATTTCGCTATAGGATAAATATAACATCTGTATTCTTTGACTGCTTAGATATCTCAGATTAGGGAAGTAGCTTGGACTGGATAATAAAAGCTATACAAAAACCTACTATAAAAAGACTCTTTTTGTGAAGCCGGTTATAACTCGCGTCATCTAAAAAGAACGCTGGAAGAAAGTGGAGAGGGTATGTTTGCGCATGGGCATACTCGCGCACAAAAGTACTAAGCCTATTATTTTATTTTTCATAGCAGTTCGCTCGCGGCTTCATATATTAGTTATTGGTTGGGACATTGAAAAATATATTAGATAGATCTTTAAATAGAATTCTATTCATTATTAAAATATGTTTGATTCAGTGCAGAATGTTTAATCTACTTACAAAAAATTAAGTTAATACGTTTAATACATTGTTTTTATTATTAACTACATTATTATTAGACTCTCTCTTTGTAAAACAATATACGTCAAAAACAATTTTTCTCTTTTCTATATATAAAACCATTTCGTAATTAAAAACTTTTGTGTGCGCGATGGTATTTTAAATAGCTCGCCGGCAAGCATGCGGCGCGTGCCCCGCTGCTCCGAGCCGCCCCGCGCCCCGCTTCTTACCACCAATTTGACCGATAAATCGCTTCTGCGCCATCGCAGTTTGACAGCCAGCGTTCTTTTTAGATGACGCGAGTTATAAAATTATTCGCCTGAAACGTCAAAAGTAAAATTAATGGTAGTGTTTGTCAATAGATTGCGCGATTTCCATTCCATATACCGTACCGTATCCAGAACCGAATGCCATTGAAATTTGAATAGCTAAGCCACTATAGCGTGGTCAAAAGCAAGTTAATTTTAGCTCTTTTGAGTCTTTCTTCAAATAAACTTTTTCTATGTCTAACCTCATACTGTAATCCTACTAATATTATAAATGCGAATGTTTGTGAGGACGTATGGATGGCTGGATGTTCGTTACTCTTTCACGCAAAAACGATTGAATGGATTTTGCTGCTCATAGGTACATCAGAATAACACACAGGCTACTTTTCATCCCAGAAAAATGTACAGTTCTCGTGGGATAATTTGTTTTTCCAGAGGCGAACCCGAGCGAAACGAGTGTGAGCCGCTAGTATGCAATATGCTTAAAAAGCTTTACAAATCTTTCACTTTGCATAATATTAATATAGCAAAAGGAAATCTGATTCAATAAACAGGCAATAGAATAATATAAAATAACAACAGTTTGTTTTACAATATATGTTTTTATTTATAATTAGCGGCTCACCCTCGCTTCGCGCCGGTTCGTCGCTAGTTTTAAATAGATATAAATAGTTAGCCGTTAGTCATATAAATTTTATTTTATTTTTTCGTTCATATTTCTGATGTTTTAATACTTATCATCCTATGCCGGATTTTAACTTATTCTATATTTTTTCTCTTTATTAAAACTTTCCGTGTACCTTAACGAGCATACGAAAAAAAAATTTGCTGAATTGATCGAGCCGTTCTCGAGTTTTGCGCTTAGCATCATTAATTTTTATTTATATAGATGCAGACGACAAAGAGACGTTTACATTTAAAATGACATTTTACCACAGAGAATTCACATTTTACCATAGACAATTTGTTTTTGAGTAATGTTACCATAGTATAAATATTGACATTAATATTTATACGATACTAACGTCACTCAATTGTTTTGCCTTCCCAGAACCTCTCCACTAACACTTAAACTTGATGGTATGGTATTAAAGTTCAAATTGACTTTTAAGTATTATTACGAATTCTAGAAAAGTGTTTTTAGAGTTTTTCAGGCAATTTTTTAAATTTTTCTCTCCCTAAGAACCATCCTCGTACTTCAAGGAATATTCTAAAAAAAGAATTAGCGAAATCGGTTCAGCTGCTCTTGAGATTTGCGCTTAGCAACACATTCAGCTATTTTCATTTTTATATTTAAAATAATTATTTTTTAAATGAAAAATAATATTTATTATATAATAATTTTAATCAGACTCTCCACTTGAACTGTAACCGACTAAGGACAAACTTATTGGATTTTTTTCTTCATTTTCTCCATTGCCTATCTTTTGATCTTTCTCTTCATATTTAGTATTTTCTTCATTACTTATTTTTACCTCAACATCTTTTTTCAATTCATCTCCTCCAATTATTTCATTATTTTTAGCAACACCATCACTTTTAGTTTCTGTACAGTTTAAAGCATTTTCATTTTGTTTGCTTTTTTTTATTGTTATCCCTAAAGAATTTCTAGTTAGAGGCATGCTCTTGCTTAATGATTCTTCTTTTTTTAGACCCCCAAAACTAGTCAAAAGCCCGCTAGAACTTGGTAATGCAGGGCTGTGTAGTAATTTGTTCCTATTAACCTTTTGGGCCTCTTCACTACTTCTCGAGGGTCTTAACGAGAGAAGTGATGCCATATTTTTATCTTCTTCTGATTCTGGTAGTAGGTTAATATCCAAAGATGATCTCGCTAGAAGTAAACTATCATTGATTGCTGATTCTTCTAGTTCTTTTCTTCTCTTCTGCAAAATAAATAATATTTATGGTATTACCAAATATTTTAAAAATAACAAAAATACATAGACTTTTTTTAAAACTTTACTTTCTATTATAAATATTATCACTTCTCATCATTTCTTATACTGATAACATATGTATGATTACTACATTTATTTTTAAATAGAATTGAACCTTGAATTACAGATGTTTTTTTTTCATTATTTCCTTAGTTTTGGATTAGTAAATAGAAAATTAGTATATTTTTTTCTTTTTACATTTCCATTTTTTTTTTGCTTTTTGCAATTTTAATAGCATTTAATATGAATAAATGCTATTTAAATTACCTTTCATTGAAGGTTACGAGGTGGAGGATATGAACTTTTCATGATCTAAGATTTCCTTGAGCAATTTACTTTTGGGAGTCTTAAAAATAGTGTTTATAAATAAAACATAAGCCAATTAAATTAGCTACAACGAAATAATTAAGATGGCTTAAATTCCAATAAGAAAATGTAATAAAAAAATAATAATTTACCCTAAAATTTCTTCTCAAAGTACAATTAGCTTCATAATCATCTTTCCATACATTTTCATTTCTACCAACAAGCCTACCGAGTCTTGGCTTTTCTAATTTACTAGCATCTAAATCACCAGTTTTATGTTCCAATCGAAACATAGCATCATCAAACAGTCGCTTTTGTGTTTCCTTTGTTTCTGGAACTATTTGGCCATTTTCGGTAGGATCCCATCTATTCTCTTGACGTCTTGCTCCTGATACTATGACATAATCTAGATTCTAAAAATAAATAGAATTTTGTATTACCTGGGCTATTGAGTTTAAGAATTTATGAAATTTAGAAATCCAGGCAGCTACAATTAAGAATAAATGTATATTTAAAATTAGTTACAATAAACTCAGTTGAGTGTAAAATTTACCTTTATATTTATGATGATGATGATGTGAAGAAATTAATAATTTAAGCTATAATTTTACAAGTTTAAATAATACATTAATACAATTTTTTAATTATAGTGATGTTATAAAAATAATACTTACACCTGGATCTGTTTTGATTTCAAAGTGATTATCACAAAGATGACATTTCATTCTAAATTGGTATACAGGAGTACTATAGTACATGCCAATTTTCTTCTTCTCAGCATTATATCTAACCCCCATACCTATATGGTTATTACATCCTTCGCACCATATATTATATGGCATTTCAAATCTAATGATCAGGATACCCATATGGAGCTTTCTTGCTCTTTCTCGTAAGGCATGAGAACCAACAAATTTGTTTAACCCTCCGACTCGAGGGTCGTAATCTGGAGGGTAATATAAGTTTTGTCCTTTACGTTCACCCATGATTATTGGTTCTGTAACAAAAATTTATCAGAGTAACACATCAGAATTATGTGCACTATTAAAAGTTTTTTTAAAGCACATTTTATAATATATCAAGAACCTTTATTTAACTTACATTAATCCTTGATGTTATACTGAAGTAGGTAATAACACACTATTCTAATATTAAATTTTAGCTATAAATCTAGAGAAACAACGCAAAACTATTTAGAAATAAAATTTAGACAATAGACATAAGACATGACATGTGACATTTGTTATTACGTATTTGATATTATTTATTTAATATTATGTATTTGACAATTGTTAATTGTCAAATTTATGTAGTGTTTCATTTGACGATCAAAGTGCACTATTCAACTAATTCTGTTTTATTTGTGGTAAAGCAATTTTCATACTGAATGTACTACAATCCAAATACATAGAACAAATTATACAAACAAAATAATGTCCAAAATATTAATTTTAAACCTGTATAAATATAATATACCCGTGGTAATGTTTAATTGTATAATTACATACAATTCACAGAAGACAATATTATGTTTTTTTCTCTTCTTCTATAGTTTTACTGATGCAAATGACAAAGAATGATGGAATTCATCGAGATCAAAAATCAGCTATCAATTAAGTATTGAACATTCATAGATAGTATTGTTTACATTTCATGACTTGTTGTATTGTATATTGGACTCGTTTTCCGTACTTAGACTCGCATTTGGTCGGTTGTACGTTTCCATGAGTTGTTTTTTATTCTTAGCGTGGTTTGCGTAATTTATCAAATGAACTAAATTTCACATATTTTAGTATATATAGACACAGATAGATCATTTAATACTATAATAGGTATATAGTTCGCTCGCAATATCTTCATTACGAGTTGTGCAGATTAAAGCCATCTCTTCTAAAAAAGCGTAAAAAATCGGAAGAAGTTAAATTTCTCTTTAGGTATGCTAAAATCGATATTATAATATATAAGGTATCGATTACTGCATATTAATTATCAGTAAAATCACTATTTGTACGACCTTGTTTTTGTTGAGGAATAAAAACAAAGAACTGGCAACACCGACAGCTGTTTGACAGCTTTGCAATTTTTCGAAAGAAAATCTCGATTAAAGTTATTAATCTATTTATTCATCGTATTCATATTTTATCGTGTATCTCTTTTAAATTAGTGATTTAGTTAACACTATAACTTATATTTTAGTGTAATGAGCGATGAAATGTCGTTTACTATAAATAGATCTACCTGCAGTTAGTTTGTATTTTTGTCTGATTTGTGATGGTAGATCAGACATATTGAAGAGGTTTACAACCATGGGAAGAAGGGAAGAGCCACTTTGGGCGCAAGGCACCGTGGGCCTTACTGCAGCCCGGGAGCGAGGCGACATCGATCGGAAGTTCCAGAATCGTTTGACTGTTACGAGAAGTATGATAGATAGACTAGGTCTAGAAAAAGAGCTCCATGGACATATGGGATGTGTAAATTGTCTCGAATGGAACAGTACAGGATCGTAAGTATATTTAAAAAAGTATTATTAGTCTTTATTTTGAGAAAATTATGTTAATTTATGTTTTTACGCCGTAGCATATTGGCGTCGGCGTCGGACGATCTTCACGTAATATTGTGGGATCCTTTTCGTTATAAACAACTTCACAACATTTCTACAGGTCATACAGGCAATATTTTCTCAGTAAAGGTAGGTGGGGGTCAAGGGTAATACATATTTACAATGTATTTGTGTGTAAATTATATTCCTTTGTTACAGTTTGTTATACTTAAACTTTATTTCCCTGATAATAAAATGTCAAAACATTACTTGTTTGTAATCTTATTTATATCTATTATTTATGTGATAAATGTACTTATTAATATTAGTCATTATTCTTAACATACATAATATATATCTATTAACCAAGTTGTTGCCTAAACTGAGAGATAATATTGAGGAAGTGATTTAATAGGTTATAGGTATTCAATTTCTTTCATGCATATTATAACAATGTGAAAAGGAAATAAATATTTTTAAATTATTTACATATAAGATAATTGTGGATTTTGTATACTAATATCATAAAGAGGTAAAGTTTGTGAGTTTGTGACGTTGTAGGGGGTAATCTCTGGATCTACTGAACCGATTTAGATGCAATTTGGTAAGAAGATAGTTTGACACCCCTTAAGGGTTTGAAAATAGGGATGAAACTTTATATAGGGAAGCAAGCTAGGGATGAACCCAAGCGAAGCGAGGGTGAGTCGCTAGTATGAAAATAAATCTTAGAGACTGAAAGTGGTGAAACTTAAAGTTCTAAAATAATAATACTCAGTGGGTAATGATTGAAAATGTCTTGCAAATACTTTAAAAGGCATTTTACTTTCAACATATAGACAGCAAATTATATCTTGGCATGATGAGATATAAGTGAAAATAAATAAGACACAAACTAAAGAAAAAAACTCTATAATAACCTATTTGCTTATGACATGACTATTTCTTCAGTAAGTTCTAACACAAAATTATATCCTAAAGGAATCATTTTTTAATTTAAATTTACCAGGATATTTTTTTTATAAATTTTATTTTGTGCATTATGTATAAAGTATTATATTTAACATCCATTTGATTGTAAATACATTTAATTTATACTGAATGTAACCTAAATAGATATTTACATTGATTGTGTGATTTAACATAATGCTGCATTAGACGCATAAAGCACATATTAAGAGAATCATTAATATGTTATATTTGGAATATTATGGAACACAAAACACAAAATATTTTTGTTTACATAAATACAATCACTCTTTACCAATTTTAGCATTTCGTGAAAATGATGTAAAAAAGTTAGAGATGGAAGCAATTTTTTTGTTTACAAATAATTTGTATACAGATTACTCATGACTAATAAGAATAACAATTCAAAATGGTGTCAGGATATTTGGGATTCTTGAAATTTTATTTACTTCAATAAAAAAGATAAATCAAAATGGGGCTATTGGCAAAATGGTTACATAATATACACATATTAATAAAGTGGATCGGGTACGAGTCAGGCTCGCACACTGATTGTTCAATACTACTATACTACTATCCAATATAAATGTCACTGTGTTAACATTCAAGTACAATGACCATATGAAGGGTACAGTCAAAGAACAGGGAATGTTCTATTGAATAGATTATGAGTAAAAAGCAATTTAAAGTTTAAAAGTATAATATTTTTATTGAGATCAAAGTATGCAGTAAATTTTAATTTGTAGATTTTTGGACACTGCTCTTTCTTTACCGGTATGTCATGAATATTCCCGGTTCGTTTCGCTTTGGCCATACATAAAATGTATATTCAGCAGCATCGGTTGAGTATTTGTAAAAACCAGTGGTTGGGAATGCAAGTACCATAGACATAGATTCGTTACCAGTACAAAACAAAAAAACACAAAAATTGTAACACTCCCTATTCTTTTCCATATATATATGGTAACCATCTAATTATCGTGACTTTGTATAGATTTTCTTCTAGTTGTTGCTTTACTTTGATGGTTTGTTTTTTATTGCTACAAGGCATAGGTATACTTTTCGAAGAGCATAATAATTTCAATTATTTCAATGTCAAGGTATATACTTGATTAAGATGAGTTTTATCATATGAGGGTCGGGTTAAGGTGTCTGCCCACTACAATGTTTCATACCATGACCGTGCTATGAACGTATCAGGCACGGAAACGAGCATGGGAGGGACTACTATGTCCACTAGAACGTGCGTAAGCTTACCATTGCGCCACCTGCGCGCACCGGTCCTGCAACGTCGCGTGCCAGGCACGGAGCGTACCGGCAAAATATTCTCGCAGAAAATTGTTACCGCTCCGTGCATGGGACGCGTCGGTGCCGGTAGGTCACGGAACAGTCTAGTGAGCTGAGTCTGATACATTTCAATACAAAGAATATTTTTTTGCCTGACATGATCCTAGCACGGTCATGGTATGAGACGTTGTAGTGGGCAGACTCCTTTATTGAGCGTAAATTCTATCTTCCTAGTTCCTCTCACAAGATACGATAGCAACATGTGCAGCAGACGGGTCGGTCCGCATACGCAACATTGTCGGTGGAGCTTCCTTACTGGAATGCTCATGTCACTGCGGGCGAGTGAAGCGTCTCGCATGCGCTCCAGATAAACCCCATATGTTATGGTCTGCGGGGGAAGATGGCTTGGTTCTGTAAGTATGGGTATTATATACTAGGGATATACCTTCGCTTTACTCTCGCTCGCTATGTGTCACTCCAGGTGATATCTATCTAATATCTATACTAAATATCATTAAAATCTTTTCAGTTCTTACAGTGCGAAGAACTAAGAAATAATTATTGTTATTCACCTAGGGATGCATTCGAGGGAAACGAAGAATTATAAAGTTAGAATCTTAACTTCTTTAGTATAGAAATAACATTCTAATCAATGTTTTATTCACAATTTTCAGTCAACACGACCTTCGAACCCCACACACGTGTAATTCTGACTCGGCCAACGTTCTAGTGAATCTACTGAACCATATGGGTCGATACGCGGAGGCGAAATGCCTCGCGGTGAATCCCCGCCGGCCTTACCAGTTGGCGTTGGGGGCGAATGATTTCTACGTCCGTCTCTACGACACCAGGATGATCAAGCTGGCTAGATTACAGGTGAGATGGGTTTTTGTTTGTATGTTTAGATTTTATAAGGACGTTGTTGATCTTTCGTGATCGCATAGTTTTGAAATTAAATTAAATTTTTACAGTATCGATAATCGAGTTATCCCACGGGATTCATTTGAATTGAAAAAAAGATCTTTTTTTTCGTAAATTTAATTTTAAACCCAAAAAAGGTATAGGTTGATTTTGTACGTTAAATATTTTTTTGGAAAATTGTATTTTAATAAATTATTTTTTTTAGCCTCAGCCTGCGACTCCACGCGTGAGTATACTTTGATTTATTTGGTAACTACCGAGTGTGGCCTGGGCTTTACGTGGGGTTGCATTATACAGGACTCGTGTAAGGTGAACCAAGAACATAAAACAGTAAGATTTAGATTATAAAATTGTAGTGGGTCGGTGTGAATCTTTTGCACGGTGTCGTCACCAAAGTGCGAAATGTTGGCGAAATGTAGGCGCGAAACAAATTATCTGATAATTATTGCGATTATTATCAATAGACATATTTATCTTGATAATTTAATTTACTAGTCGTCACATACTTGTATAGATAGAGGTAAAGGTTCTAAAAATGAACAATTTAAAAAAAAAAATTTAGGTTAGGTCGTCACTACAGTGAGGAAAAACGTTATTATGTCGATAACTTTGGATGTCTATCGGGTCACTTCATTTTGATCTTTTAATCTCTTAAAATACAATATATAATTTATTATTATATAAGTGTCTTACGGTGAAGGAAAACATCGTGAAGAAACCTGAATGTCTGAGAAAACCTAGCAAGTCTTCGAAAGATATGTGGAGTCCACCACTCCAATAGGATCTCATCAAAAGCGACAAAAGCCACATAGAAACCAATAAAATCCTCATAGAAGCCAATAAATATTTATTTTGCAATCATAGAGTTTTTCAATAAGGCACACTTGGCTAGCGTGGTGGGCTATCTTGTATTGAAGGGAGGCCCGTGCCCAGCTGTGGGACGTTAAAAAGGGCTGAATCCAAAAAAATGTAACGTGTGTGTGTGGTGGTAGGAGGCGCAAGTGAACGCCCACTCGTCCCGACTGATGTGGGAGCGCCAGAACGTGCGGTGCTCGCGCGCCGGCCACGGCGACCCCGACGACAACATCCCGCGCGCCGCCGTGCAGTACTACGCGCCCGGTGAGACACGCGCACATGGACACGCATACAAACATACTTTTATAAACATTACTCACGCACATTATTTTCACACGTATGTATAAGCGTGTACACACACTTTTAGCGATAATCCTTATGGAAGAGGATTTTCTCACAGATATTTTTTTGAACCTTAGACCAAGTTTTTTCTCGTAGTTATGGTGTTTACCCATTTAATTATACTGAAATATACCACCAATATATCATACAATTATTTTTCCAGTAATTATAATTTGAAAAATAAAAAATTGTAAAATTATAGCATTGTAATTGTTTTTTTTTAAATTACTTTTCTATTCTCAGGTCACCTGTCAATGGAGCCGAATGAGCACACGTTCCCAAAGAAAGCCACCACCTATGTAGCGTTCAGCCACGACGGGAACGAGCTACTAGTTAATTTAGGCTCGGAACAGGTGAATTATTAAGTATTTTGATTATATATTTCTGACGAAGGCAATGGTAGCCCAGTGGTCAAGGTCGCTTTGATAAAGTAAGTAAAGCGAGTTCAAACCCCGTGTCTCGCAGTTCTGAAAATTTGATATGCGAATCAAAAATATAATGATTGACGAAAACATCCTAAGGAAATCTGCATGTCTGAAATAACCTAACTAGTTTTCGAAAGACATGAAGGAATGTGAAGTCCATTAACCCACTTTTAGCCGGTGTAATGAACTATGGTCTGATCCACTTCGCCTTGAAAGGAGGTTCGAGGTTCCAGAAGTTCCAGGTTTTAAAAAGGCCTGGATGATGGTGATGATGTTTCTAATTGATGTATAACATTTGCTGTAATTATAAAATTAGATATAACTAAGAATAAAAAAGGTACTTAGATTTTAGAAACATTTGTTTTTTTTTGTATGTAAATTACCAGAGTTCTAAAAATACCTCATACACTTATGTAGGTTCAATTTTTTTTTCACCCCTCAATTCGTTTATAGTCGCCCTTATTTTATTATGCATAATTTGGGGGTTATTGTCTAACGGTTCGCATGAGAAACTCATCTACTAAATTTCAGGAACATATAATGCTACATTAGTCTCCTAGAAAAAGATTGTAACAGCTAGATGGACATGATATTTACAAGGGATTCGTTTTGCCTTTTGATTAAGCCTATAAATCAACATTGTATGATAAGTATAAGTTTAATTAAATAACACGAACGCCTAAAATATATTTTTTTACCCTTATGTTCCAGGTATATCTCTTCGATATAAACACTGCGCGACGACCAGTTCTTGTCGAGAATTTCATAATACAACACAACCACGGTGGCCGTGAAAATGAGAAGCAGTCTCCAAAGAAGGGCACAGAGCGCGGAGCCAACGGTACCACAAATATTGGTGCCAATGGTACCACAAATATTGGTGCCAATGGTACTACCAACGTTGGAGCAAACGGCACCATCGAGCAGCAGCCGCAGTTGCCTGAACGAGTCAGAATTTTGAAGGAGCTGGTAAGATTGACAATGGCTTTTTTTAAGATATTGGTTCTAATGGGGTATAGTTATCCAATGTATATGCGCGTACACTTGTGCACTATAATACCTCCTGCGTCTGGCTAATCTCAGTGAGATTGGCCGCCGTGGCCGAAATTGCTTGGGAGGATATTGTGTGTATTATGGTAGGTAAATTTTTCAAAAATGTAAAAAATACAGTCACATGGAAATACTTGAGCGCGTCAGACATTCATAGTGTATACGCGCGTTGTCTTTCTGATAACCAAGAGATATTAATCTGACTATTAACTAGTGGGGAGTGGCCGAAAAATGGGGTAGAAAAAAAAGAAAAAATTATTCGAGCGAGTCAGATATTCAGAGGGAATGTTAAGTGAACTCAAAAAGTGTCCTATTCAAATGGCTGTCGATTTGGACGTGACCAAAAGTCATGAGCGATTTTAGAAAATGTAAAAAAAAATGTCACCTTGAAATATTCGAGCGCGTCAGATTTTTATATAGATGGTCCAACTTGATGTCCTAGTCGTCCTAAATGATAATCTGACAATTATATGGAAGGATATTGTTAATCTGACAATTTGAAAAAAATTATATTTCATAGTGGACCTACAAATTCATTTATTACCTTATAAGGCAAATAAAATTTATTACCAATATCACAGATTATATTATTATACTAGTTCCAATATTAAATACTTAGTTACAAACCTACACAAGTGAGTGACACATCTGAGATAAATATCACTATTATTGAAGTATTAGTTACAATATTATAATATTGCCAGACGAATAAATTAATATTATTACCTAATTTTGAAAAAAAAACACGAACACGTTATTGTGATCAGCTGAGATGGCATCATGGCGGAAGACGGTAGTGTGGGGACGGTGCGAGAGAGTGAGAGATAGAGAAAGAATGAGAAGGAAAGAGAGGCGCGGGAAATACAGTGCTCAGCATTTGTACGTTTCATCTTTTATTGATGGTTTTAGTTACATCGCCCCATGAAAATCGTCAGATTATATGTTTTCCGTAATCCTGATAGGATTTCCTTCGAAATAAAAAAAAAAACAATCGCCCTCGAGTATTTCGAAGTGACTTTTTTTACAACTTTGTGTTCGCCCATTTCCTTATGTCACGCTCAAATTGTCAGATTATTAAAATATACACTTTTCCGCATGTACTTAACTTACCTTGTCTTAATCTGACGCGTTTGAGTTTTTCTGAGGATCGATTTTTTTTTACTAATCTAACGGGCTGCCCTCAACGCACCCTATATTAAGGGTTCATATATGGTAGGGGTACATTACAGAGTGCAAGCTTTCTCCCATATGATTTTCTGACGCGCTCGAGTAACGCACAAAATTCCCACTTGTGCTCCCCTATTATTACCAATATTGATGTTAATCAATATTATAATTTAGTGCAAATTAAAGAATAATCTATACATATAATAAAATTGTAGCAAATATTGTACATAAAATTTTTTTGGAAATTTAAATTGAAATAAACATTATTATTGATACAGAGACTGGAATCTATAGGTTTTAGAATTTTTGTCTGTCTGTTTGTTACCGCATCACAGAAAAACCACTGGAGGGATTTTCATGAAATTTGGTATGGTGATAGCTGGTTGCCCGGGTCAACATATAGGATACTTTTTACCATAATATCTCATTTCTAAAAAAAATATAAAAACTGCCAATGTAAGAGTATACTTATATGTAAAACCCAAGAATTTGATTTTTGGTCATCTAAACGCGGGCGGAGCCGCGGGCAATGCTAGTGAATTATAAGTAGAGATGTAAAATATTGTCGTAAATATAATAAAGTATAATTAAAATAAGTACTGTCCTTGTGCAGGCCAACGAGCACGTGAACCAGGGCAACTACGCGTCGGCGGTGGAGCTGTACGGCGCGGCGCTGGCGGACGCGCCGCGCTGCGCCGTGCTCTACTCCAACCGCGCCGCCGCGCTCATGCGCCGCGGATGGTGACCATGCTTGTTCTATTTTAGGGTTCCACACCGCAAAGGGTAAACGGAACCCTATTACTGACACTTCGCTGTCCGTCTCGGGGCTGCCAGATCGTATAATTGGATACAAAAAGTGTATAATTTGGTTGTCTTTTGTATCCAGTGTGTATAGCAGATTGCGTCGTACAACTGGATACAACAGTAAAAATCATAAAACCAATAACAAAAACCTTACAAATTGATTTGAGATATATGTTATGAAATTTTTGATTTTGTTACATTGTAATATCGTTTAGTGTTTATCGCGGGTGTCAACGTGTCATACAGTAAATCTCGAAATTTTTCATTTACTCGTAAATATTTGTAACCATGTATATATGTGCGCGGGCGCAGGTCGGGCGACACGTACGCGGCGGTGCGCGACTGCTACCGCGCCATCGCGCTGGACGCGGCGCACGTCAAGTCGCACTTCCGCCTCGCCAAGGGCCTCATGGACCTCAAGCGCGCGCGCGAGGCGCACGAGTGCCTGCTGTACTTCAAGGTACACCCCCCCCCACATCGACCTACAAACCCCCTTCTTCAAGGTACACAACCCCTCCCTAGACCCTCTCTCCCACATCAACGTACAAATCCCTCATCCCCATCTTTTCCCCACAATACTTAGAGTAAAATAGGCGTACTCTACTTAATGGTACATCTCCCTCTCTTTACCTCGTCTCCACTAAATACTTCAAAGTCTAAACCACTTTTTTCCCTACTCCACTGAATACGTAGTATAATATGGAATCGTATAAGTTCGTCCGCTAAATATTATGAAAGTAAGTAAATTCCCTAATTGATTTATTTAAGAAGCATGTATGCATGTGCGTGATGATTTTTGATGTCTCCAAATTCATAATTATTACAATCTAATCTATCCTACGGGAACCGTATAAAAAGTAACCTATGTGCTATTCCAGATTATAATCTATCTCTGTGAAAAATTTCATCCAGATCGGTTCAGCTGATCTGGCGTGATTGTGTAACAAACATCCAACAAAACTTTCACGTTTATAATATTACTTGTAGTAACATTGTATCTGGTCCACAGTAAATTAGAAGAAAATGGAAATGGCACAGAGTACTTTACAATATTGTTTCATTAAAATGACTTTTAAATAAACTTAACCATCTTTTCGGGGATTTATTTAAATTTTTGATTTCCGACGTTTCAAATACAGTCTTCACAGCAATCACGGACTTCTCCGAATCCAAAAATACGTCTCAAATTCCCATAAATCTAAGAAATTATTAAATGATATTTTAAACATTTGTATAAAGAATATAATGTGAATGATTGCTCAATTAATGAATATTACCTGGTCGATACATCGCCTACCTTGTTCCCGCAGGACAAGTTCCCGCGGCACGCGGAGAGTCACGCGGTGTTCCTGCTGCAGAAGGACATCAACGTGGCCCTCGAAGCTATGGAGACGCAGCCCGACGAGCCTTGTACGTGTTGTTTTTATTATTATTACTGAAATAATTGGGTATTTGCATGACGTATTAATAAAAGAAGGCAGTGTTAGTCCAGTGGTAACGTGCTTGCTGGAGAAACCGAGTGAAACAGGGCGAATCCCGGGTGTCGCACCTCTGATAATAAGAAACCTGCATGTCTGAGAAAACCTTGCAAGTTTTGGAAAGACATGTGCAGTCCGCCAACCAAAAGTGAGGCCCGTGCCCAGCTGTGGGACATTAAAATGGGCTGAATAGACATTTTAATTACCCAGGAACACCATAAAAGACGTCCGTTTGGTAGAATGTTTAGTTTCACACCAAAATTATTTAAATTCTCCTAGATATAAAATAATAAATTTGATAATTTTTAAAATGCAATTGCAATCTGCCTCACTTCGCTTACTAATGGCATGGGGTCTCATCACGAACAAACAAAAGTTAGTTCAAATAAATGTCAGTAGATGACGTTACATGTATTGATTTTTTCAAAGTTGTATTAAATTAACAAACAATTAAAAAAGTAGATACCAAAAAGGTGTATTATTGTTTTAAAAAGTTTTCTAAGTGAAGGGAAACGAAATAATGCGCTCGTAAATCAAATTTGCGTAATTGTACTGATTATTGAAATATCAACAATCAAATGATGGGTTTGTAGTGTATGTTCACAGATGGCGCTCTTACTTTTTATGAATTGTTTATCACGCTTAAATATTGTTAATATCACAGTTTTTTTTATTCGAATGCAGGATGAGTTGTACAATGTTTACCATACGTTAGTTTGCACATATTTATAAAATGAAACTATTTGCAAATCAACGACATCTATTACCTATACAAGCAAACAAAAATAACATGAAGTAGAAAGTAGCCCGAATTAGCGCTGTCCAATTTATTTATATGGGATGAACCATTATGCATACGCAGCTCGATTTTCCAATACGAATGTGTAGCCATAACGGAAGCCGCAAGAACCGTGCACAGTCGTGGAGTTAACAACTACAATATAAAAATACTCTCCGACAGTGCAGCAGTTCTGCAGGCGCTAAATAACAAACAAACCAACAACAAACTAATAAGTGAATGTCACAATGCCCTGGACTTGATATCAACAACAAATCAGGTCACCCTTCAATGGATCAGGGCACACAGTGGTTCACTTGGCAACGACGCAGCTGACGAACTCGCAAAGAGGGGATCAAAACTAGAAGTGACTGGCCCACACCCGCTTCTCCCCATACCCTTTGCACAGATTCGCACCTGGATCCGCCAAAGATCCACGACATTACAAAACAACAGATGGTCACAAACTGCAGACTGCAGACAATCTAGATCAGCTCTGCCTGCAGTAAACCCACGACTTACAAAACGCTTACTAAACCTCAATAGAACAAATCTCAAAATAATGATAGGGACGATAACGGGCCACTGTCCCTTGAACAAACACCTATATAACATCGGCGCAACGGACACCCCTCTGTGCAGAGGGTGCCTCGGCGCTGAAGAATCAGTTGCCCACGTAATCCTGGAATGTGTAGCGGTAAGTTTTCAACGTGAAGAAATCCTCGGACCAGTGAGGTCGCACTGCGAAGCCTGTGAAGTTCCCAAGAAACTTCTGCGCTTCTGGGCGGAGCTCGGCTGGCTAATATAGCCAGGATTCGCACGCACAACGGACCAGAAGAGAGTCTAAGTGCGGAAAACGAGTCCACCTTACATTACATTACATTATATGGGATGAGGCACCTGTTCTTGTATAGTATTATGTGATCTGTGCCAAGGGTTATTGATAAAATAATTATAGTACTAATTGCTAAATTCCATTTCATTCTTCTAGCTCTAGAAGAAGAGGGTCAAAACGGTAGTGTGTTGGAGCGACAGCTTCGCAGTTCAGCACTCGACTACAAGGAGCGGTTCCTGGGCCACTGCAACACCACCACCGATATCAAGGAAGCTAACTTCCTGGGACCTGATGCCAATTTTGTGGCTGCCGGGTGGGTGGACTTGGCTTTTTCATTGGTATTTCCTGGTATAAGAGGAAGAAATTTAATATTTCAAAATTTTAGAATCTTTTAAGAGGCTTATTGGTGCTTTATGGTATAGTACGTATCTATTAGCGTTTAGTGATAACGTATTTCATTAAACAAACTCTATGTATGTATATGCTATATATAGATAGATAGATACTTTATTGTACATCACAAAGAAATATACAAGAGAGGAAATTAACAAATAGATGATGCACAGGAGGCGACCTTGTCGCTATAAGCGATCTCTTCCAGGCAACCTTAGGGCGTAGGAGAAATTATATGAAATGGTAGGCGGTGATGTACTATTTAATACACACAAATGTATATTTTAATGCATAATTATTACATAAATTTATAGTATAGGTTTCTATATAATTAAATTCTAATTGAGTTGAATCTGTACATTAAATATTTTTTTGGAAAATCTTATTCAAATAGTCATCTAGATGATAGAAGATAGATATAGGATCTATAGTTTTAAGAATTTTTGTTTGTTTGTCTGTCTGTCTGTCTGTCTGTCTGTCTGTCTGTCTGTCTGTCTGGGGATGCATCATGAGAAAACTACTGGACAGATTTTGATGATAGCTGGTTATATATAACGTGTCATGGGTGGTCGGGGCGGGCGCAGGTCGGACGACGGCAGCATGTTCGTGTGGTGCCGGCGCAGCGGCAACATCGCGCGCTGCCTGCGCGGGGACGAGTCCATCGTCAACTGCGTGCAGCTGCACCCCGCCGCCTGCCTGCTGGCCACCAGCGGCATCGAGGCCGTCGTGCGGCTCTGGAGCCCCCGGCCTGACGCTATTGAAGGTACGGCCCTAGAGCTCTGCTTTCGTGTAATAAACTAGCAGAATCCGCGGCTTCGCTCGCGCTAAAACTACAAAAAACTATAAAAAGTCAGTTTTTCCCGTTGTTGTTTTGTGAGCTAAATCGTTATGTTTTGTTTTTGTTCGCTTCTTTGAATTTGCGCGTGTATTAGCCGACCTGGGCCAACGTTTATAGCGAATTTAAAATTGTTCAAAATTTAATTTTTATATTATTTCCTAGGTTAAATCTCAAAATATTGACTTAATCTACGTGTATTTACCGAAAATAAGACACTCCGTCTGATAAATTTCGTCTTCGCGCATTGTTTTTGCAACTTTTAAATACATATTGCGGCATTGTGAACGTGTTTACGTCGGCAGTGTTTCAATAGAACTAATCGAAATATACGCTCACTTTGAAAGTGAGCTGATATTTACCGATTCGGATTTTTTACGCCGACCCAGTATCTAGTAGTATTGTTGATCGAAGGTCGCTAGTAATAAGTAAATATGTTGGGACATTAACACATAGCACCATTTAGTTCCATGGTAAGCTACGAGGCTTGTGTTATGTATACCAGATAGTTGATACACTACACATATATAAATTTATATACGTACATATTATAAAGAGATAAGTCATCTTTTGTATATGTATCTGTTTTCACCTCTTTAAAAAAAAACTGGTACATAAATAAATAAATATATGCCAAAATGCACAAATGAATGCCCCCAGCGGCATCCGAGCCCGCGACAGCTGGCACAGCAAGCAGGCTCACTACAAACTGAGTTAAACGTGTCGTCACTAACTAATCAACTTCTTTAACACCACGTGTCAGCGTGCGAGGAGGCGCGCGCGCTGCTGCCGCCCGCGACGGCGGCGGCGGCGGCGGCCAACCAGCAGCGCATGCGCAGCGACCCCTTCGAGGCGATGCTGCTCAACATCAGCTTCACGGGCGCCGAGCGCGACCTGCACTCGCCCTCCTGCCGCGCCACGTGAGACTATTAGTAAAAAAAATTGTAAAAAAAAAATTATTTTTCGTGTTTTTTTTTGACATTTTGAATTTTTTTGTAGTGAATATGGGAATGAGAGATTAGGGTTTCCGATGTCTCTACTTATAATTAATACTCATGGTGTCCATCCACAAACTTATGCAATGACAAGAAAAGAGTAAATAAAGAAATACTAGGGTTACAATAATGGCAGAACTTTTTTTTTATATTGGCTATGACGATTTCAATTTGAATTTTTACATCATAATTTAGAACTCCAAATTCCAAACCATTATGTACATTTTGAGATTTATTTTATCTTTTGTTTATTTTGCACAAACTTCAATAGTAAATGGGTACATATAACGCCGTCTTTAGACGTTTTTTGAACTAATTTTTCTTTATTCCCTGTGAAACACCATGGCGTAATGGAATAGATTATTACTTATATAGGTTTTCGATTGTATATACAATGTCATTCATTCCATTGCAAATTCCAAGCACAGAATCATTTATTTTTTTCATATATATTATTTACATCTTATGTACATGTGTACGTCACTAAACTCCTAAACCGCTGGACCAATTTTGATGAAATTTTGTGTATCTGTTTGAAGGGATCCCTGGATGATTCAGATTCACAATTAGACCTTGGATTGATTTAATTTAATTATTGTTTTTTATATTTAGTTAGTTTTTTTTTACAAAAAACCGACGTTAGCGCAAGAGGAGAGCGTCTTTCGGGTCTGCTAATTTAACCATAGTTATTGATTTTAAATGTATGTATATTGTATATGCATTTTTTTTTAATTTTTAACTTTCCCTCTACAGGTAATAGCTGGTAGCGGATCTCGTTGATTTTGCAACCATCGTTAAGTCATTTGTAAATATAAATATACGTTATCTTTCCTTTCTAAATAATATATTTACTTTTATTTCGTTAAAGGTTAAATGGTGCCAAGTTGAGTGATGAAATGGTTTTTTCTACCTTAACTGTTCCATAGACAATATATAGCAAAGGTTTTGGATCTCAGAAACTAAAGGAAACTTTTTTTTTACATAATAGCATATTATAATATTACTTCAAATTAGTATGTTCAGTGTAGGGACTCTTATATGACTGCATGATCAAGGCAAAAGTTGGAAGTCCCGAGGATTTATCAAGAAATTTTGGAGTGATTTAATTATTCGGATATATTTATTATTTCTCGATTATTAAGAGGTTCTTGTCGGTGTGTGGGAGCGGGATCCCTTCAGGCTATGAGTCTAATATTAGAGTGCGGTTGCGTTACTTTACTTGTGTTATAGAAACTGGAGACTGAAAGAAAATGTGGAAATATATGGGAAAAAAGCCAAAATTTGTCAAAATATGCTAACCTCAAATTAAGAAAATAGAAATAGAGTCGATAAAGATAAATTAATTTGATTTTTTAATTTTGTCACAACTAATAGATGTCATCAGCTAAATCATTTTTTTTTTGTTAAATAAAAGTAGATAAATTATTGTTAATTTAGGTAAATTGCGAAATTAGATAAATTATTGCGGTTTTACGATAATATACGATATCATCCTTAGTAAGATTTTAAAAAAAATATGCTATATCAAAAAAAAAAATATATATAGGAAAAATGTGAACACAAAACATTGTATACACATCATCGATCAAAAAGTTATTAGATACACAATCCCATGCAAAAGTTCTCTTAAAACTGTCACCAATTGTGTTTAGAAATTATATTCAAGAATTAAAATCAGAAATTATATTTTTAGAAATAAATATTCAAGAATGTAAATTGAACCTTAAATACAATATTTAAAGTTGTTTTCACAAAGTAAAATTAAAAGCGCGTTCAAATTTTCAAATAAGCGTCCATTTGATGAGGACATTTCTTGTCGCTGATTATGTGTCCAGTACTTTTTTGTTCGATGACTATACCTTGATATCTCCCTCATAGGCTAGTCGGAACGGTCACGGTGGTGTGATTTTTTTATTTATCTCACTATTTTTAATTTGTTTGTATGTCAGGATAATCTCTGAAACTTCTGATTTAATTCTTAATCATTCACAGATAGAAAGTAACACTATTTTGAGCATACATTTTTTTATCCTCGCAAAAAAAATAACATAAATATGTCAAAAAAGATTAAAAAAAAAGATTTTTGCTAGCCTTTGTTCAATTTTTTAAATTGTCTCTTTCTGTAAATTAAAGAAATATAAAACCTAAACATTTTTATGCTTCGATACAAGCTAACTTAAAAACCCTTTTTCAAGTAAGAATTTATAATTAATTACCATTGAATATCAGGGTTTTGTATTTTTTTTATTGGACAAAATTATAATAATAATCGTGCTTTTAGTTTCTGGGATCACTTATTAAAATAGCAAGTTAACTAAATTTTATTATTTATATAAGAATTTATAATAATTTACATCCAAAATATTCCTTAAAACATTTAAATATAGATATTGTATAAGTAAGTTTTTTTTAACTTGTAAATAACTTTTTTCATCATCATAATATGTCATTAAATATATAATTGAATTTCATTATTATTTGATATATTACACATTTAAAGGAAGCTGTAAATTGAATACGAAAGACATGTAATTCTCTTTTTTATTGATGTTTCTGGCCAGTGCTTCTCAATCTGGATTTCTAAAATCCACAAGTAAAAAATCAAGGCTCAAATATATGGATGCTCCTCTATTAATAATTATTTGTAGATTATAGATTATAATGAAATATAGTTACATATATCAGATAATTAAGAATTATAACGATCACTAATATGTTTTGAGTCAGTTGAGACTAAAGGTTGAGAATAGCTACAGCCTTTGTTTGGACTTAGCATCTTATCAAATTGTGTTATAATATATTTCATATGTACAGTTTTTTAAGCAACACAGAACACTTGATCAATCCACTAGACAGACGTAGTTTGACGTCTAAGGCAAGCACTATCATATAAAGCAGAGGCCACAATAAAGTGAGTTTTGTATACTAATGTAAATTTGAAAGGGCCAAGTCGTGGAAAGGAAGGGAATCTATAAGGCCTCATTTCTGCCCTAGAATAACGAAAAACATTATGTCATACGTTTTGATATTTTCTTTACGTATTGTGAAAGTGGACTGTGTGCCTGATAAAATAATATATTTATGAAAGAAAAAACTAAAATTAATATTACTTAGTATTAGGTAACTTAGGTAACTGGTAGTAATATTTCATTCAATATAGAGCGTCTCTTTTTTATATTGAGTGTACGATGGAAGGACTAATTTTTCAACCGACTACCAGGTAGTTCTCAATTCGTCGGAATCTTTTTTTTTATTTATGTCCCATATAAATTTTGATCGAAATCGGTCGAGCGGTTTTTTTAAAAATCAACATTATTTTTTTTTCTTACAAATTACCTGCTTGTTACATCTACACTAAAAATGGAAAAATAAAAACTTAAAAAAAACCGTCTTCCAGGCACTAAAATATAAAAAAATAACTAAACGGGGGGTTTTCATTTAGAATAGATACCTAATCAGATACTTTCGAAGACGCTGCCAGCCGATGCAAAGGAAATCTATTATATTCCGACTCTAAAAATAGGTTATACAGATGACGTTTTTCGACACGCGACTTCTTTTTTAAAGTCGGTTGCACAGATCTGGACAATCAACCAAAGTTTGGGTTTTTTTTCTCTCATAAATGTATTATCTCATCAGGCACACAGTCTGCTTTCAGAATATGCAAAGAAAATATCAAATCGTATGTCATAATTTTTTTCCTTATTCGGGGACGGAAATGAGGCCTTATCGATACCCTTCCTTTGTAGGTAATAATGAATGCGACATTAACTTTCATAAGACATATAGTTTATTTAAGAAGTTGCCTTGAATATTAATGATTAGATATAGTTGAAAGTTAGTTTGGAGTTTTTTTTAATTTGTTGTTTTTTTTTCTATATATAATATAATTTGTCAAATCGTTATATAAAAGAAGTCAGTAGAGAAATGTGATAGAAACTTATCCGATGTGAAAATTATTTATTAAAATATTCAAAATGATTTGATGTTGTTTTATTTTATGTATTCTGTGGTCATAAATTTTTTAGCCTATGAGCCTATGATGTGTATATGAAAGGTGAAAATAAAAAAAATGTTTTACTGTTATAGGACAATTACAATACAATCCATACTAATGATGCTTTCTTAGTTTCTTATTAAAAACTTAAATTTCTTTTTTATTTAAAATCCATACCAATATTTTAAATATGAAAGTAACTGTCTCTGTCTGTCCGTTACCTTTTCACGCTAAATCCGCTGAACCTATTTAGATGAAATTTGGTATGAAGATAGTTTCGATACACTGGAAAGGACATAGGATAGTTTTTATTCCTTGAGGGGTTAAAGAGAGGGGTAGACGTTTGTATGGGGAGTAAATCATTTCTCAAGGGATTTTTTTAAGTACTTAGTATTCGATTTATTTATGTACATATATTAGTCTATTCTATACTAACCGTTAATAAAGTTATACAATAATTAAAATAATTATTACACTTTAACATTTTTATTACCAAAATTTTCGGATTTTGGGATTCAATTAAAAATCAATTGTAGGAATAGGCTGTCACATAAACATAAAACTAAAAGTAACGTTTTAAATAAAACTTTCTTTTCGGTTTTTTTGTCGTCAGTTTCCCGTGACCATGATTGCTTTAAAGCATTCGAGTCAACATAAATCCAAAAAGATAGTTTTATGTTAATTTTAATGTTCGCGTTAATCTAAGAAAGTATTATTAAAATAACTTTTACGTTTATTCCACTCGACTTTAGCCATAAAAGTTGCTCCCATAGGGTGGATAATAGAGATCGTATGAATTTAATGAATTTATCAATTCTGACTCCAGCTAAGTACAGTCAGAAAGAAATTATATTTATAATAATTTAAAATATAGTAAAATAACTTTGCATCACCATCTTACTTTAGTGTAATTCGACTGTGCACGCTCAAATAAGCAGCATGTCAGCAGCATTATTTTCATTGTTTTATTACTTTTACACATGCGCAGTTTTATGGGAAAATCAGGGTGTTTGAACTGAATTAACTCTTTTCTTTATGTTTTATTATAAAAATATATGAATGTCACAATATTATTTCGACTTATTTTTAATAATTAATTGATTGGAATTCCACAATTGTAGATGCTTTAACACAATCGCCATCTTTCCATAAATATATGGTGGATTATTATTTCTACCGATTCGATGGTTCTTTCATCCATTCGCTATAGCAGAGACTCCTTAGTCGACGGCTAATTACATTTATATATATATATATATTATATTATATAAATAGAATATATTATATAAATAGAAGAGATTGCAATTAAATATTAAAGTAACTACACATTATACAGCTCACCATTAAAATAACAATATTTTATAGGTACCAATAATAATTTGCAATAGTCTTTAGATAAGTTGCTTTCGACAATCCATATCGCCAATAGAAAAATATGAGAAGTAGGAACAGGTCACGTGACACAAACCTTTATTTTTTACTTTTTTTTATTTTAATGATTAATCTCACTAAATATTTCTATTTTGAGACCGTCAGCACAATAGTCAACCCACTGACAGCTACTTTCAATAAAATGGCTGTTAAATATTTTCTTAAATTTTAAAACTCATTTATAGTTTTTCATTTAGCGCTTACTTGAGTTTCTAAAGATTTTTTACGTTTTTAGATTTGTTCTTTTGAACTAAATTTCTCATTGACATGTAATAAGTAATAATTATTATTTGTCAAATAATAAATGTGGGTTAGGCATTTTTTTT